TTGCGAAATCTGGGATTGGCAAGCTTGATCGTGAAACTTGCACCCAAGGTGCAGTTGGCCAAGCCGAGCACATTGCTCTAATAAAAACCCCACGTTTGATTGTAAAGTTTGGAGATACAGGCGCCTTTATGTTTGTAAGTGTGATGCTATATGAAGAGTGGTCTTTGTTCATTGTCAAGTATTTATATGGAGGCTTTTGGCCTCGGGTTTATTATAGGGAGTATGTCGGAGAGTGATACCCCTAAAATGATCGTATTTGAGAAGAAAAGTGGGAAGGAAAGTACAAAGGAAAGTACAAAATGACAAGACGAGGGTGGGAGCGAGCTACTCAGAATCATTAAGTCTCATGGAAGAGACACTCCCCGAAGAATTGGAGGGATCAGTGGATGGCGGAAAACGTTTGCCCTTGGTTTGAAGCTTAAAATAAAGGGTGGTAAAACTTGGTGAACGTAAAGATCGAATAATTTCCTTGGCTTCGTCAGACATGGGGAAAGACGTCACCATACGATCGATGGACTCAGGCGATGCTGGTGCTTTAGATGACTTGGCCGATGGCTTTTCAGTGGAAGATTCTGTAATATGATTACTGATAATCATGTCGTTGTGGGCTTCAAGGGGTGAATAATCAGTGCTAAGCATGGATACATCAGATGACTGGCTGGCAGCAGTGGAAATAGAAGACGATGGGGACATTGGCGGGACATTGATGGGCTTGACAATAGTTCGACGATTGGGACATTTAGCAGCACGGTGACCATTTTGGCCACAAGACCAACAGGGGCGGTATCGGCTTGGATGAGTAGGACATGAAGACAAAGAATGACCGGATTTGTGGCAATGGAGGCAATGAAGCGGCATTTCAGCCCATGTTGCATAAAACCAGTCTTCGGAGTTTGGCCATGAAATCTTGTGTGAGAGCGAGGATGATTGCTTTGCATCTGAAACGTTTAATGTTGCATAACCATGTCCCATGAACAGATTTGAGTCATGATCACGCAAAATACCATAATCCAGAACGTCACCAAAGGACGAGAGAGCTTTGCAAATGCCATCGGTGAGCTTATCACGAGAGGTGAATGGAAGATTGCTTAAGCGAAGATGAACGAGACAAGAATCAGCTGGTAAAGGCACGCTGGGCAAGATACGCATACCATCCTTGAAAGCAAGACCTGACGTACGAGCTTTTTGGTACACGTTAGAGTCATCGATAAAAAGTTCAACAATGCGGCGAGAGTGATCCGAGTGAAGGCGTACTCCACAGTTGTTGGGGAAGCTTGTATTTAGATGGCACAAAAGCGTAGCGCGATTTTCAGTACGAGACGTGAAGTCAAAGAACAAGCTGGAACAAGAAGCAGGAGAGCCACCGGCTTTCCACACATTCGAGTGCACAGCATTGTCATGAGCCGTTGGTTTCAGCGAAACCCGCAATGGGGAATGAGTGCGAGCTGAGGAATGAGTACTAGTAACGTTGGCATAAGAAGGACGATGCTGGCTATTTTGTGTGCCTGTTTCCTTATCAGGCAATTTGGTAAAATTCGGGGAAGACATTAATTCATTGTCAAGTAGGTGGACCCTGGCAGAGCAAAAGATGCAGAGGGCGTGTTTGTGTAACTTGAGTCATTCAGCACAGGCGATGCATGATTCTTGTACACTATTTAGGAACAGTCAAAATGCCAGACGAACGATTCTCCTGCTCCAGCTCAGCATGCGCATCATTCAACTTTCTTGATTCGAGCTGACCTGGTAGTATAAAGGCAATGGCTGTTGTTGGATCATCATTATCATGTAAAGTGTAAAATGGCACACACCCTTTTGCTATACGTGAGGATCATTTCTTTTATTTACGTGTACCTGTTGTCTATCGTGAGGGTGATGATCATGATGGGTGGATGGTGTATGTGGGGTCATTGAGTGGCCTCAGTGTAATAGCAGTAGGGGATTTAAACTTGGGGCACAGCAGCTCCACGACCTGAGACAACGCTTCTCTTCTTTTTCTCTCTCCTCTGCTTTTATCCAATGCACGTCATCCCGATCAAGGTAATGTACTATAAAAGCGTGCTCTTGTTGGCTGTGAGGTATTCATATAGTTCTGAACATGCATTGTCAGGGAGTGAGAGTGTGTCCAAGTGCTGAGGAATGAGGGTGGTTACCATGGCGATATCGTTGCTTCCTCTTGTTCGTTGCTATTCCCGCTCTACGCTTGGTGTCAACAGGTACATTCAGAGACCAATGTTGCAGCAGAACTTGTTCCATTGACGTGTTAGCTTGTATAGAGGGCAAGTTTGGTTTCAAAGCGTTTGCTCGTTTGGCGTTTTATTTCGGCTCAACTACACTACACCATGATTTTCGGTTTCCAGTAACCAACAACAAAGGGGGCTTTTGTGTATATGGAAAAGGCAAGTGCAATGAAACAAACAACGAATGGAAAAGGGGGTTTATAGTGTGCGTGCTAATAATGAATTGAATAGGTTTCTTAGATCAGACAATGCAACTTGGGGCATCGTCATCATCTCTTTGGGTTCAAGTCCCAGCCTGTATCAAGGTTTTTGGAAGAGCATGGTCACCGTGTTGAGGTAAAAAGGGATTTGCAACAGCTTGACATCAGTGCGAACCAACACGCTCTTCACGTGATAGGCTCGTTCTTTCCCTTGAGGATTTCTTTTCATGAGGCGGGGAAATGATTGGAAGGATTGGGGATCGTTCTTTCTTTGGAGAGGATGAATGAGGACAACTATGAGCCTGGACTCTACGTAAGTGATGTCCTTCCTTGCCATGGACCGAACTGGCCTTGTGTGATTCGTGAAGTGCTTTCACAAAGACAAGGGATCGCCCAACGTTACGATGATGATGATGATGGCTACAACGATTACAACAATGATGACGATTACGATGACTACGAAGATTACAACAATGACACAAACAAGCAAGGTTCGTGTTCTCTTTCCATAACGGTGTTGCTTGACCCCGTTCAACCTCATTGATCTAAAGGAAGCCTGCAAGATCCCGCTCTTTTCCGCCTGCGCCTTTTGGGATGATTGGTGACGAGGACTTTGAGGACGACTTTGACGAGTAGGAGCACGACTAGGAATGGTGATGGTTGATGGATGATGGACGACGAAGACGGCGGTGGTGGTGGCAAAATAGGAGGTAGCTATGTAGAGGAAGGTAATAAAGGATTGGCTATTACCGCACTTGGACTTTGGTAGCTTTTACGTATCCCACTTGTTGCTTGCTTGTGGATCAAACGGACACTCATACAATATCCTCTAGCAGCATCTTATTTTATGGAATTTGAGCACAGCAAGTGATTTGTGATAGCCGGGTGATGGCATTGCTTGATGATGATGGATAATATTGCCGGTTTTGTTTATGCCAAATCCTGATTTACGCATCACACGAAGACTCGTTGTGTAGCCCCCAACAATCTATCAGGTCTTATCACTATTCCAAATAAGCATTTTATCATTGATCTTGAGCACAGAAATCCCCACGCCCACCATATTTATATAAACAAGGATGTTGTCGCCCACTAATACCGCACATCTCTTTCCTCACTTCCATCATCACACTTTGGTTGGTGACGCTTTTGAAAGCCCTTGGTGAGTATTATGGAAGGTAATCCTATTCGTGAGCGATCCATTTACTCATATGCGTGAAGATCTTTAGCCTTTCATTGTTATTCTATTTGGCATCATTGTCATTGTTGTCATGCGCTAAGATGTTAATCGGTGCGAGAACCAAAACATCTCAGCAAGAACCAAGAGATCCATTGCCAAGAGTTGCTTTTCCTTTTTACAGAAAGCCTGTCGTTGCTTGGTGCCATCTGTAAACGGGCGATCGATCACGCTTATATCGCTGGTTACATCGCCTTCCTTATCGATGGCTTCCACATTTCCTTTCTTATGGTGCGCAAAGAAAAAGCCCAATTTTTACTCTATGACAGAAATTGGATTGGTTGACAACATACTACATGTGTTGGGAAGGCGTTATTGCAGAGTACATATGCGAGAAGGATGTCGCATCCCTTGACATGGCACGATCATTGACCGACCTCCACACTTTCGCCACCCTAAAAAACATCAACATGCTTGCGCAAGTAAGCAACAGCTTCTGGTGCTATTGCCAATCCATGGGACCTGATCTAGGTTATAAAATGGTCGTGCTTCCCCCATCTCAGACGTTTATGCAATAATCCACAAGTCTACCAGCACATCCCGTGAAAAAATTTGCGATATTGATTCTCAAGTGTATGTCATTTTTTCTCATTCTCGATACCTTATGTATTGGGATATTTTCTGATGCGTTATAAATAGGTCCAAAGTCAAATCCGGATACGAGCACCTGCATGTCGATTCCATTTTGCACAAAAAGAAAAGGTTATTTCTTTTTCAGAAGTCCATCCCTCTGCATCTTTGGCTCTCCAGGGGCTAGCTGATTAGCAACGAACAAAGAGCACCTTTCATATAGCATCCTCCTTAAAGCGTAAAAACATAAAGGCACTTGTATCTCTAAACTTTACAATCAAATGTGGAGTCTTTAATAGATCAAAGTTGCTCGGCAGGGTTGAAAAGACCTTCTGCTATGAGGCATAAATAGGTTGTACAGAGGGGGGCATCACAAAGAATCGAGACGCTGTAAAGTGATACTCGATAAGGGGCGTTTGTTTATTATAAAGGAAGAGCAACAACTATAATTTGGTAGTGATCTAAGATATATAATCATGCATCAGCTACATGATTTGGTCCACACGACACGCTGCTTTTGCAATGATGCATGACCTCGTCGAAAACAATGGTGCCACCGGTCATTGTCATCCAAGGAAGGAATAAGTTAAAAACAGCAATCACTCACCTTCAAATGTGAATTGACCCTTGAATCATTGTAAAAGTCGACTACAATGGGACGTGCTGTGCTCAATGTGATACAAGAGCCTGGCTTTCAAGCAGCAGCAAATTTCTCTTCTTTGTCTCGGAACACCCAGCAAACCGATCCGTGTGGCAATGAGCGATCAAGGAATCACCACGTACAGCGTCGAATATCGCGAGAAGCCTGGTGCCAAATGTGCATCCTGTTCAAAGAGCATTCTGGCGAAATCGCTTGCAGCTTCAGAGATCTTTCGCAAGAGCAAGACTGAAAAGAAAAAGTTTGCAAAGCACACCTGGTATCACTTCAAGTGCTGGACAGGTAGGGTTGAGCAATGTGCATTCATAAAAGAGACCGTTATCGTAAACTAACATGGGATTCTCATAGTTCCTGATATGGTAACCAAGCTACCAATAGAGCAATTGCGAGGATACCCTTCACTTGTTGAAAAGGTCAATAGGCACAACACGTCTTTTATATGCATATGACTGATTCAAGCATGTTTGCTGCTATATAGGATCAACGACTAGTACAACAATTGATTGAACGTGGTGCAGGCGCCAAATGGGAAGATTCGAAGGAAAAGGAGGAGGACGAGGAGGAGCCCGTGGATACCGAGAAACCAGCCAAAAAGAAAGAGAAGAAACGAAGCAAGGCTGCTGATTTGACATTTGGATTGACTGGTGTGCAAGTTGCACCTGTGAAGAACGTTACCAAACTCGCATCCAATGCTGGCAAGAAGCGAAAAGCCGAGAGCATAGAAAAGAAGAAGAATGAGGCACCTAAAGAAGAGCCGTCGCTTGGCAAGAAGGATCAACTAGAATTAGAAAGCATTGCAAAAGAAATCCAAGATGCTCTGAAAAAGTCTAAAAAGGCAAAGAAATGATGTTGATTATGCCATAATGAATAAAGAAAGGGTGGTTTGTAAATATGAAAGCAGCGCATGGGTTTGAAAATGATGGCTGTCATGGTTGCGTAGGTGTAGGTAGTAAACCTTATCTTGCTTTGACTTTTGACACGGGACCTTTTCTCCCTGTTTTCTTCCCTTCTTTTCCTGAGAACGTACGTTTTCCTTTTAATACCACTTCTTTACTTACCTGTAAGTGTTATTGTTTTGTCTATGACTAACACCGTAATCATGATACAAAGCACGTGGCTATTTTTTACGGTGATTACAACACTCACTTATTAATGATCTTTTCATTTGACATGGCAACATCGGGTGCCCTTATGTCATGGATACCACTGTACATGCTCAGTAGACTAAAACACGATCACTTTGCATAGCAGTGAATACCAACCAGCTGATGAGTGATAGGAACAACAGCAACAGTGGCGGACCATCACCAAAAGCGGATGACGGGCCGACGCCCGAAAATGCCAATGCGGCGATGGAAGAGGAAACCTTGGAATCAGAAACGATGTTGGCACAATTCTTATCCCCCGATGGACCGCAACATCATCTCAAGCTGTATCAGAATAACAATTTCAAGCTCGTACGAGTGGTATATGAGGATGACCAGCTATCAATGACATCTGTGGTACCTGCTGAAAACGCCACCATCCTTGATGACGTTATGTCCAAAGGCTACAATGTTGTATCACACATGTGGGGTCCACCAGATGAATTGGTCGACTGGAAAGATAGCGGTGTACTTGATGAACAGGGCAACCCTATACGAGCAGCAAAGATACGTGATGGAAAGCAAAGCACCATATTGAATCTCTTCAAGGATTATCCAGGTTATTGGTGGATTGATCTCTTTTGTGCTGACACTGAACATACACCTCGAGGCATCATGGGTCACATTTACAAGTTTTCAAATTTGTGCTTTGCTTTACTTGATTGCACCAATGACAGCATCAAGTACCTTACAACACACGAGAAAACGTTACAAGATTGGAGCGAAAAGCTGCATCCTGGTATCATTGACGACAATGCTATGAAAGCCTATTATGATCGCACATCAATTATTGAAGGGATGGATTGGAGGCGTGCTATGCGTTTTATTTTTGATGAAGATGAAGCTTTTGCCGACGCTCTTTCAGATGTCATGGATTGCAAGTTCTTTCAACGAGTGGGAACATTACAAGAAGCTGTTTTACCACGCACCGTACTATTGATGGCTGAAATGGAATGGGATGGCTCAACGACTCTCGACATGAAATTGCTACGTGGAATAACAGGCTCCATGTGTAAGGCTGTACGTAAAGCCCACGAGGATATCGGGAATGAGACTATTTCGCAACATTTGCAACGCATCATCACTATGGCAGATGAGATCGATTTGATTTGGAATTTGAAAGAATATGGGCAACAAAAGCTACAAGATCATCAGCTGCTCAAGAAGATTCTAATCGATTTTCGACGTTCTGGAAGAAGGTGCACGCATGCTCGAGATTACGTTCATGGGATCATTGGTATGCTTCAAATCCATATCCCCATGTCAGATGATTGTATGGTGATATGGGAAGGATTTCGCGATGAACTTCGAAAAAGACAAGTCCACGTCAATAAGCAATTTGACTTTTCTGAAGCGACACATATGGGATGGGTGTATAGCCGTATCCATTTCCAAGATCATGCTTAGCCATATTATATCCCCTTGAAATGCAAAATAAAACCATGGAATTGTGCCACAGGATATAGTTTGTTAGAGGCCGACAGCACAGCCAAGTGCAACACAAGAAAGAATACAAAAATAGATGAGCCGAAACCGGGGTATAACCATTTTGAAAGAGAAGAATCTACATCACCACATATGAACAAGGATTGGATTCGTGTGTTACATGGTCAGCTGTTGTGTGTTGTTAATGGGACGTCACTGTGAGATGTGGCTATGTAAGAGAATATGCATTCTGCAGGACTTTTTGTGATGGTGTTGGACATGTTGCACATAATCCCGGGCACAAACCAAGGTTTTGAAATTGCCCTTATCAGTGAGGTGCAACCACATGAGACATTCTCCGAAAGAAAAAGGATACAAGCCATGTTGTAAGAACATGAATGCCAAGATGGAAAAACATGAATTAGGGCGTATGCAAAAAGATTTAATCAAGATAGTGTGGATCAATGATGATGCAATGGCATCATTCTTGTTTCTGTTTTTCAGTTTCCAAAAGTGAGGTTGCTAGGTCACGGCTGCAGGTGTGCTAAGCATGTACGTCGATCTTCAGCCTCGAATTCCCCGTCGACTGCCTGTTTTAGATTAGGTTTTGTTTTTGAGTCGATCTTCACATCTTACCTGGTTTAACACATATCCCATCCAACCAATAAGTCGATAGAATTCTTGGCACAGCAGCCAAAGATGCACTACCAGGAATAGTTGGCTGAGAGAGAGAGAGGCTTTTGCTTTATGTAGAGAGTGCTTCTTTTAATTCCTCCATTTGCTTTTCTTTACTGCGCCCGTGACCTATTTGGGTTAATCATATCCTCCCTTTTTCCATTTGTTATTTCTTGCATTTGGTCCCTGACCCTTCCCTATTTCTTTCTTTCTTTCTTTCTTTCACCACACACACATACACTTGAGCTGCAGCAAGCACTTTTGGACGACATGCCGCCTCTACTCAAACATGACACTGACAGCAGGTCATCGTCTTCACATTCACCACCGTCACCTATCAACGCGACCAAGCAACGTCGATTGAATAGTCTGCATCTCGCTGACATTGCTGTTGATCTCGGCTTCCCACCCTCATCGCGTCGAGACAAAAAGGACCAAAAGCCTCGTCGATTCTATACGCCACATCATTCATATTTCTTTTATTATCAACAACGTTGGAAATGGTGGTTACTTCTATTGGCTGTCGTCTTCTTTACTACATTTGCTGTATTCTCCTTGACACCGCTGCAGGAAGAGCCACAGCGAAACCAGCTGCTTTTGTATCGGATTATCGGCAATGACCTGCCGCCGCGTCACAAAGAGGGCCAGACCCTCTCCAATCTACATTTTATTCTGGAGCACGAGCCGTCATTTCCCAATACACGCAAGATGTTCTTATTGAATCGGATTTCTGATCCAGCAAGTGAAAGAGCCATCATCGACCTTTTGGAGCGTTACCATGCAGAGTACATGCGTATCCCATTCGATGAAGAAGAATACAAGCAAATCGACTTTCGACTTGAAGACTTTTCTGAACCTGATTTCTTACATTCGGATGACTATCGCCGATTCTCCAAGGTTGCCAAACTACGTACGCTGGATTATACCTATCATGATAAGAACCTTTACGCCATGAATAATGTAAGTATCCAAGGTACAGGATGAGAGAGAAAGAGAGAGAAATGGTGCGAGTGCATATAAATAACTTTATATATTTATAGAATGGAGGACGTAATCGAGCAATTCAACATGGCAAAAGCATTCATAATGCACGATGGATTATGCCATTTGATGGAAACTGTTATTTGACACCCAACGCTTTCAATGAGATCAAGACGCAACTCGATCGATTTGGATCTGATACCAAGTATTTCATCGTTCCTATGATTCGTCTCCTCAACAACTCGGTACTATTGGACAACATGGATCAGAGACCAAAGGCACATGAGGAGCCACAGATCATTTTCAGATATGATGCAACAGAAGAATACAATCTCAACATGCGTTATGGAAGACGTAGCAAGGTAAGGTTGGATGAATAAGCATTGGAATCATGTAAGCTAATGGGGATTTTTTCAAGTTGGAGCTCTTGTTTCGCTTGGGAGCACTTGAGAATCGACGACTGAATCGACCCACAGTTGCTTGGGAACCAAAGGAACGAGCCTATAGTCAAGATAAGGGCAACTTTCGAACGATTGGATGGGTGTTTCGATTATTCTCGGGCAATCCTCAACAAGAAGAAAGCAAAAAGGAAGCATCATCTATTCGTGCCTTCAATCGATTATTGGCGATTCAATCATCATTGGATGGGTTGGATGAAAGCATTGCACGGCAAACCTTCCGGCATGATCGACTCTTTTTGTACAACGAGACAAGTATGGCTAGTATACGCCATGCCTATTGGAGTAAAGGCGACGACAGCATTGCAGCAACTATGGACATATTGGAAAGGAGAGCAGAGAACATGTTACAAGCAGCTACTGATCGCTTAACAACACCTGAAACTTCTGCAACTGAAGCACCATCCATTACTCAAGCTGCATACGCCGATCAACCCGAACTAGGAGAATTAGCGCAAAACATTACAACCTTGACATTGGCTCATTATTTCCTTGGCAATGAAAAGTATGGAAGATGGGCAGCCAATTTGGTGCGTGTCTACTTTTTGAACGACTACGTATTGCACGAGGATGATGTGGATGAATACAGCTCTGCACGGATGATACCCGACAGCACCCATTTACTCGACTTTTTATCCGATCAAGGCTATTCTTTTCCAAGTTTAAGTCGCTCATCACGTACAGCACCCAACACGCCAAGCCCCAAACAACAGCGTCTTATCTTCAATGCATCCCACCTCACTCGGACCGACACAACAGCAGTTTTGGATGCTATGCGACTCTTGCGACGTTCACAAATGCTCACCCATCGAGAATACTTGGATCTTCAAGGATTATTGGCTCAAGTGCTTGAATACTTGATTACTATTCCAACGGGTATTCACCTTGCTCAAATGACCGATCATCGTGGAGTGCTATACGATTTACAGGTGACAGCTCTTGCAGCATTTACAGATGACGTACGCTTGTTGCTTCGTGTTGCCAATCGATGTCGTATGCGTATCGGCAAACAATTCATGGCTGATGGATCACAACCCTATCAAATCGCTTCAGCACAACGATTCGCCCAACAGCAACAACAACAAGATAAAGACGAGGACTCATTGATTGCACAATACGAGACACTCAATCTACACTATTGGACAATGTTGGCACGTGGTATCCAAAACACTGGTATTGCCAAGGACATTTGGCACTACACAGCCAAAAATGAAGGTCGCATCTCACATGCAGTGGCAACTCATCTCAAGAAACACTCGGCTTCAGCTTCTTTGGCACCCCTTGCCCATATGGCACATGCAGCGTTTCAATACAGTGGACCAGAGAAATCACGCGCTGACTGGCACTGGATGATGAATTACCATGCAAGCTCCCAAGTACATGACGATGATTCAGTCATTTATCTTTTAACCTAAGTACCCTCCTCATCCCCTTTTCATCCGCACAATCACCACAATCCATCCACTCATTCACAACGCCCATCTTTTCTTTTGCAACACAATCACGCATCATGCACATAACATGCGCTCGCACACGATCCCATTCACCCCTTGCACATATAGCACAACACATCTTCGTATATCATCCGCATAGGCATTTTTATAGACCCTTGCATTTTGTAAAAGTATCTCTCACCCCATCTGTTGTTCAAAGATGATAAAAAACCAGCACATACCCACATATTTGTTTTGTTTATTGTTGACATCTAATGCGCAATTACTGCATTTTGCAATCTAATTAGAGACTCGAGCTATCCTTTCATTGTCATGCAGTCATGTTTACTGTATTTTTCACTAGTGATGAGACTAAAAAATAATAAGGAGGGGATCATTGTACTGGAAGTGAAGCCCATGGTTGATTGTTCCTGAAGCCAAGCATGTTGTTATACTGTCTTTGGTCTTTGCCATGGCAACGGCGACAGTTGCTAGGTCCCCAAGTTGTCATGCAGCTGAGATGAATGTGTTGGGCTCATTGTGGCTTTTACAAGAATAATTTTTCGTCCGCATGTAGACTACTTCTTGTACTTCTTTCTAGATATATACATAACCCATTCATAATGGCATTCGATAATCGTGGAGCTCGTGGAGGACGTGGAGGTTTCCGTGGTGGCAGCCGTGGCGGTGGCCGTGGTGGTGCTCGTGGCGGCTTTGGTGGTGGCCGTGGTGGACGTGGTAAGGGATCTTTGTATGACATTGGTAACTCGAGAATTCAAACTTAACTTTTATCATTCATTTAGGTGCTGCTCGTGGTGGCATTGGCAAACCTGCTGGTCGTGGTGGCCGTGGTGGCCGTGGTGGTGCTCGTGGTGGTGCTCGTGGTGGCCGTGGTGGTGCCAAGGGCGGTGCCAAGGGTGGTAACAAGGTTATCATTGAACCCCATCGTCATGAAGGTATCTTCATTGCTCGTGGTAAAGAAGACTTGCTCGTTACCAAGAACCTTGTCCCTGGTGAATCTGTCTATGGTGAGAAGCGTGTTTCTGTGGATGGTCCCGAAGGTACCAAGATCGAATATCGTGTGTGGAATCCTTTCCGATCCAAGTTAGCTGCTGCTGTTCTTGGTGGTGTTGATCACGTCCATATTGCTCCTGGAAAGAAAGTCTTGTATTTGGGTGCTGCTTCTGGTACTTCGGTGTCTCACGTTGCTGATATCGTTGGTGCTGAAGGTGCTGTTTACGCTGTTGAGTTCTCTCATCGATCAGGCCGTGATCTTATCAACATGGCAAAGAAGCGCACCAATGTCTTGCCTATCATTGAAGATGCCCGTCATCCTCCAAAGTATCGTATGCTCGTTCCCATGGTCGATGTCATTTTCGCTGATGTTGCCCAACCTGATCAAGCCCGTATTATCGCTCTCAATGCTCATCACTTTTTGAAGAACAATGGTCATATCGTCATCTCTATCAAGGCTTCTTGTATTGATTCAACCGTTGATGCTGCCACTGTGTTTGCTCGTGAAGTCAAGAAGTTGCAAGAAGAACGCATTAAGCCCCAAGAACAACTCACTCTTGAACCTTATGAAAGAGATCACGCTGTCGTTGTCGGTAGATATGCACGCAACAAATAGATCAACATCCTCGTTCTATCTCTCTTATCGCCCTCGCTTCGCTCTTTCTTTTTCTTTTCTCGTCTCACAGCATCTCCTCTTTTCGCATTGTACATAACAAAGACGTAATCGATCATACGTTCTAAAAAAGAGTCTTTTTCTTCATTCTTACCCTTAAACAATAAAAGCAATTTGGATTTTGCACAATCAATACATACAAGAACGTCCGAATTAGATTGGCATGTATATAATGAAATTACAACAATGGATCTACCTATTGAGAGTGGGTGGGAATTTACTGAGCTATAAGCATCATTTTAACTTGGCTCTAACACAACGAGGAGTCTCCTTTCAATCATGCCATCCAGTAAGCCCGCCATATACAACCCACCACAACTGACACACATACACACCACCTGACAACGTTCAACCAGCTGCTGCTGTTGCTTCCACTGTTAGTTCTCTCACGGCAGACCAATATGGCATCAACATTGACGTTACGGTCATGCATTGCATTGTGTCCCTTCAACTGGATGGTCAGTAGATTGCAACAACTCGAAGCGTGTATTGAAGCTAATGGTCGCTTGCAGATGGCGACAAGACTATTCGCGTATCAGAGCACCTTGTAGGTGATACAACGGGTGCCATCATATTGAAAACGACCCAAGGCAAGATAACTTGAGAAGCATGTAACATGGTATGTGAGGCTGACGAGGCGATTTGCATAGATGTACAACCTGGCAGCAGGCTTCAAATCCATAATGGATATACGCAAGTGATCGATGGCTATCTTAGATTAATAGCTGATACAATCGAGCCTTCATCTGAGGCACCCGTTCAAGTCAATACTTCAAACAATCTTTCACTCAATAAACTTGTGCGTAGGAATTAAAAAGGATTCTTATTATGTCTCTTTACATTGCTGTTGAACAAGATCCCTCGAATCGCTCAATACTTGATGGAGACGCAGGATCAAAATAATCTTACTATTCTCTTCTTGTCCTACAAACTCTGCTGGTGCGGGTAATCCATTGCTGATCTCTATTGCATCCAAATAAGAATAAATCCCTTCTTTTTCATGTTCACACTTACGCTCGAATGCTTGGAGAATTTGTGGGCTGAAGTGAGGGAATGCCTTTGACAGATGTACAAACCCGGGTATCGCTTGCACCAAAAAGTCTGACGGCACGCAAGTGGTAGATGGAGGAGGGAAGGCAATTTTAAGCAGGCGTGGAAGTACGTGCTTCTCCGCAATCTGCAAGCTGATAACATGATGTTAGAGAGAGAGAAGCAACACGTTGATGACCTTTTCAAATGTACGTACTAGGCTTCAAGTGGATATTTTTCACACAAATGACATGCCAAAAGTATTGCAAACACCTGCTTCTCCGGTTGTGGTTGTCTGATCAGCTCAGGGATAAAGTTAAAAACAGCATCTACGATAAACGTATATAAGCAAACATGTAGATCCTCATATGTAAATGGGTACATACATAAGGATGGAATCATTTCGACAACAGTGGGTATAAGCTCGATCGAATAGGTTTGAAAGTGAAGCAATTTGGCTATCAGCAATGGGCTGTCATCGATGAAGATGCTGTGGATGAATTGACATATTTGCTGTTGTGCTTTTCTCAATGATCCTATTACACCAAAGAGATGTTAACAATCACTCTACATCTTGCATGACTTTAACAAGTACCAAGTTTTGCTTTGTCAGCTTCGGTTTCTTTGCAGTGTTCCAAAAGAGCTTGGATCATGGCTGAGTCCTGGGCGTTTGTAAGCGCGTTGATATTGCGGGTATTGAGCTAATGACAAAGCGCTATGTGAGAAATGCATATCGATTGTGTATGTTCCTTCCTTACCTTTGTAGACCCAATGGTGTAATACTTTTTCCATATCCGATGCCTTGAGCACACACGAACGCATCCCATCATCTATCAATGACACACACATATATGAGCTATTCTGAACCATATGATAAGACCTGTAAGCTTACATGCAACCATAAACTCAGTAATCGCTCTGAACGAAATACGACTGGATCACACTTCAAGAGGGAAAGCGGTGCTTTGATAATGAGATCAAGTGTATAGTCCCTATAAGCAAAACCCGTCAGATCCTGTATCCACCTTAACAAAATGATAGGCTGCCTTACTCTTTCATCTTGCTACTTCGCAAAGCATTTGCTGTGATCACCCATAATTCGTAAGGAATGACTCGATGCAATGATTCCCATGTTGAAAGTAGAGTCTCCACCACAGCCGATGGCATATCCCTATAATAGAGCTCATCCATCAACATTCATGCAAAAGCACTTTGTGTCACAAAGAACTCACTCTTCATCTAGGCAAGGCCGTAATAATCTTGAGAAGCATACTTCTGCGTAAGGTATTACCTTCACGCTTTCCATCGCACTCACGTTTGTCAATGCTGTTAAACAAGTGTGTCAGCTAGCTATCCATGTTACAGCAGCCATGGAAACCACGTACCACAAGCAACTTGATCAGGATGTTGTCGCCATTTAGAAAGAACAGAGTCAAGTTTTTCGAGTGATAGATAGCCATAATTCCATACCCTACTCTGCCAACATTAGCATCACGTGAAACGATGTTTGGAATATGGACATCCTTACCTATCCATCACGGCAAGATCCTCTTTACCTTCCTGGAATAAGAGACCCGATACATCGAACAGCTCTGGATACAAGTTGGCAGCCATAGCCAAGAAGTCTCGATAAATACCACGATATGCACTGCCTTTCTCGAGATGGTTGAGCATGGATCGGATGGGTATACGATCAATGAAACTATATTCTACACAAGAAATTTCATTGTCAATCCTTGCTCCTCCTCTTCTTCTTCCCTCCTCCCTACCCTTCTATTTACCTTGATATTGCACATGTACAGCCGTTGCTAATTTGGGATCTGTCTTGAAGGCAATGATTGCATCATGGAATTGAAGTACGTAAAAGGCAACAAGCACTTGAGCCGGAGTGATGGTATCCGGGTTGTCAAAGAAAGGCACAAGCTTATCCTCGGCAATAGGTTGAATGCGGTCTACATGGAACACACTTGGACACGTCAATGGAATGTCTTGAAGGAGGGGGGAATACAGCAATCAGCATGGTAGCTACCTTTGAACGTATTCTTTGATCGTCACTGCAAACATGGGATTGATTGGCAACGTAGCGGTAGTGATGCACTGCATGAGCCATACGCCATAGTCAATGTTGCCGTAAAAGACGCGACCTCGCAATAGCTGGTGGAAGGATTCAAGGCTGAACGAGTCTTTACTACTCATTGGAAATGGTGTGTATGTGTTGATCGGTGAAGCAAAAGGGACAGCAAATTTAACGCATAAATGTGCAGGTATCCAGTGTCTCGGATGTTGTTCCAAACAACGTAAAAGCGCCGTTGTCCCAAGCCCTTGTTATTTCATTCGTTTCTTTCTCATTCTTTATGCAACCAACACACATGAAAGAACCAGACAGCCACGAAGCTATAAGCAATGATCGCCAACCTCCATCCACAGAGCATACGAATATGCCTCAAGATGGTACTACTACTACTACTACTCCACATCACCAATGATTTGTATGTTCACTGACAGCTGTCATGCAGATGATAAAGCACCTCGTGTCCATGACTTTGCACCAACAACGGATGACGATGACTTTCTCGGGCGCGACCATGATCATCGAGCCAACGTTCATCAGTCATTGCAACAACAAAGCAATTCAATCAATAATGATGGAGCTACAACCAGCAGCTCGGTAGCCAAAGCACCTTCACTTCACATGCTTCCCAACCAATCCGTTGATCCTTTACAGCTCGTGAAGCAACTCGAATTTACAGCCTTCAAATACATTGGTGCAGCATCAGCACTCGCTTTCTTATTGGGAAAATGGGGGTTCAGCTTATTGGTGGCCATCCCGTTGATTTCAATTCCTGGCGTCTTGTATTACATCTTTGGTCATCAGCCCAACAAAGACTTGAATTGGAATATAGAAAAACAAGAAGGCATGAAATCGGTAAGCACCAATCTTGCTATAGAAGTCCATGGATTGATAACATTGCGCTCTTGTAGCTCTATACAGCCGAAGGTGAAACAGTGGAATGGCTCAACTTTATGTTGGAGAAGATCTGGAGGAGTATCAGCCAAGAATTCTTTGCGACTATCGAATCGATGGTGGAAGACACTATTCAAGGCGTGACACCAGGGTTTATCGTAAGTGATGGTTTCTTGGGGTAATTGGCGTGATTCATAATGCATTACAATAGAAAGGAGTCCAAATTTGTGATCTTGATATCGGCTCTCAAGCTCCACGTGTACAAATGTAAGTCATGCAATGACCAATTTTATGTCATTCTCTTCTCATTGATGACTTGTAGAATACGTATGTTCCCTCCTCTCCCTGGTCAATCAGAAGAAAGCATCGTAAGTGTTATGATGATCTCCATGGTGTCTTGACCCTTGCTCGCTAACACAAATGCATCCAAGTTTGGTGAAGCCTCTTTTAGCTTTCATGCACATCCAGCTTCAACTTTATCACGAGAGCGTGGCCCAATTGAACCATCACCTCCTGGTGTTTCCATCGGTGTCGCCCTTGGATCAGCATCTCCGCTCTTCATACGAGGTGAATTGACAGCGTTGAAAGGGCGTGTGCGCTTCAAGTTGACAACAGGACCTGACATCCCATTCGTATCAAAATTGACCATTTCATTTCCAAGCCCGCCTACAGTCGAGACAGCTGTTATGCCGATTTCACGTCATATGAACATCATGCATGTAAGTCAACATGTCATATTTACGCTAATGATCCCTTTCTTACCATTTTTGCTTGAAAGATTCCAATGTTCAAGATGATGGTGAACGAAGGTTTACGTATTGGTATGGCTAGCATGATCGACCCCAAGAGCCTCACAGTCGACATCCAAGAGTTGATGGGATCCGATGCGCATGATACTCGTGCTTTGGGCGTTGCTATGCTACACATTCGAGGTGCGACGTGTGATCAACAGATGGTGCAATTTAAGGGTAAGTACATCATACGCATACTAGAGCCAGGCATCTAACACATACACGTTATGGGTGATGTAGACCTTGAGGATTCTTATGTGACGCTTTCCCTCAGCAATCAACCCAAGCGTACCTTGTCAACAACACGGGTGCTCACAAACGACAAAGATCCACGATGGAACGAGACGCTACATGTGCTAATCAGCAAAGGTATGCTATAGCAACCTGTTTTTAGCATGACGATGCTCATATGCTCTATCCTTGTAATATAGATGACATATCTTCTGATACCAAACTGGATATAAGAGTATGGGATGCTGACAAGATCAAATTCGACGACATGTGGGGATCATATTCTATTGCTGTTCGGGATATCCTACAAAGCAAAATTGATCGTCTGGGCAACGTGATTGACTACTGCAAAGAGGAAAGGGTCGTGTATGATGGGTATGTATGAAATTAGGCATATGGTCTTTTTCCTCACCAAGCAACATTTAGATGGGCCCCACTGGATGGCAAACCGCTAGAAGAATCCAAAATGAAAGTCGACTTCAAGCTTTCCTTCCATCCCAAATACGTCGTTTCCGAGGAGGATTCTATTGTGGAAAAGGATAAGCCTAAAGAAGAGAAAAAGGATTCGGCTGCAATGGATCCCGATCATAAAAGCGGTAATTGATGTAATGAATTATGGGGAATGACACTTGATATTAATCCGTTTATGTTGGTAGGCATCTTGTCGGTCTATATTCGGCAGGCAATGGATCTTGAGATTGGCGCAGCGGATGAATTGGCAGACGAAGAGCTTAAACACCCATACAATCCTGGTCAAGTTGTGAGTCCATACGCGATCTTGTATATCAATGATAGCAAGGTGTACCAAACACGAGCTAAGCTGCGTAACCCATGCCCGGTAAGCCATTTATTACGTCAAACCTTCAAGCCTACTGGATAATGCTCACACACCATCATAGCATTGGAATGGCGAGTCAGAGCATTTTATCAAGAATTTCGATGCGTGCACATTACGTATATCAGTCAAGGCTGCGTTTGAGTTGGAACGTGATCCGGTCATTGGTACGAAGCTACTTAAGCTTGCCGACCTTTTCAAGGATGAAAATTGTTCAACGCCATATGTAAGTAGCCATCTTTAAAGCATGAAAAGCCTGTGTTGGTAATGGAATTATACCGATTTATAGCTCAAAGAGGCTCAAGTTTGGGTGCCACTCTCTAATGGTATTGGATTTGGCAAGGTGCTATTAACATTACGTTACAAGCCGGTGCATTTAACGCTACCACCCCAAATGCAAGGAGCAGGTATGTATTGGAGGAGAATCGTTCATCAATAAGGGACATGGATGGCTTATAAAGTTATACCTAGATGTTGGTACCTTGGTCGTTGACAGTGTTCGATTACAACAATTGAAGTCACCGCTCGATGCTTCGAGCCATTCTACCAAAGCAACTCTTGCCTTGAATGTTGATCCAGTCATATTGAAACGCTTGAAGCCCCGTGATCTAAAGGACAACGTATGGGATGCAAAGCGTTTGTATTTCCCACTCATTATGCGGCAACGATCAGCACTTTATGTTCATATCATGCAAGGTACTATGGGTGGAGCCAAGGCAACAGGTCGTTTGTGGCTCAAGGAAATGGGAGATGATGAGTGGCAAGATATCGTGGTTGGTCTCCATCCATATCTTTCTGAGCACAGCAAGGAAGCGAATCGCAACGAAGACCCATGGGATGCGGAGGGACCCCTTGGCCAAGTGGTTTTACGAGTCAAAATTATTCCTGGTTTCTCGCCGGTGCACACTCATTTGCATATGTTCAACAAGGATATGGTTGGTGCCGATCCTTTCCATACCGAAAGAATGAAAGCTAAGGCTGAAGCTTGGATGGAAGGACAAGGCAAAGAGCAAGGAGGCTCGTTGGAAGAAAATGCATCCGAAACAGCTTCTGTCAGGTCCACACCCAGCACATTGAGTACGCTTTCGGAGGAATATGGGGATGAGCAAGACAAGGAATATATCAAGGAGATGCAAGAGATGTCTAAAACACATGGTATCAGCAAGTACCAAGTGCTACGAAAAATGGCATGGGGCACCGATATTGTAAAGCAGCAAGTGGACACATTACGCGAAGGATTCAATTCTGAAGCACGCTTATCACGTTCAGTGGCAAAGGAGTGATCCATCGACTATTTTTTACTAGCTTAGTGTATATACATTTATCAAAATCTTATGTACAAATATAATTACAGTATTGAACGATGACTATTACTAGTTCGTATATGCCAACGAGAAGTTGACATTGATAGATCGGATGTACTCAATTCACGGCTGGATGTTATGTCAACGTGGTATTGCTGTTTCAATTGTTGTTCCTTATTATCCATCTCATCAAGCTCTTCGGAAGGTAGTTGAACGGCACGATCGATAGCAGATGGTAAGCCACGATGACGACCACGAACCATAAGTGCAATAAGGATAAGCTTGCTGAGCGTGTGGTATTGTGCACTTTGGGATGTGCTAACACCTGGGAAACCCGTGGATGATCCAGCTGTTCCAAAAGCTGAAGCACACTCATAAAGGACTGTCAATGCTGTAATGGGAGTAGGTGACATGATACTTTCGGCTTCGATCACACAAATGAAGAACACGCCCATAACCAGCCATATGATCTCTTGAGCAAGCTGTCGCTGCAATTGTTGCATAACATAGAAACTAGGACGTTTAGTTATCAGCTTGCGAGAAGTTGTCATGACACTGGAGATTGTTGGTTTGCGGCGTAGCTTGAAAGGACCTAAACCTTGTTCTTCATCATCTTGGCGAGTATGGCTGTAAATGCCGAGCTCTCGTTCCTGTTCATGCAAAGTATCAGCAACGTGTCCTTCTGATATGGGTCTTTTTTTTAGCTCACCTGATAGACATTGCTGTTACGTATAGAAATCGCCAATGGGTATACGCTTATATACATGAAAATGATATAGCAGATTTGTGTGCCTGGATTTACTTCAAGAAGGTTGACAACCACAAAGCCAGCTATATAGCATAAAAGTTAGTGGTGGCTAAAAGCACAGCATATCTCCTTTATCTGCTACTCACCATTGCGCGTTGATACTCCTTGAAAGAAGCCATCCAAAACGCGTGATGGCCATGAGACACCTTCAAGAACAGGGAGCCAAAAGTTGGTTGCAAGGAATACCCCAGTCATCACCACGTTGAATACCACCACCACAATTACGAGCCACCATGTTTGAGTCGAAGGGAACATGTTAGTATAACAACGACGTGGGTGATCAAGGAGATACCGCAAAGTCTTTCGGGTGTGCTCATTGGGAGTGAGCTTGTGCATACACCAAACAGCGGCACGTAGGCTAATAGGGTAACCAGTATTCCCAAGAAGGATCATAAAAGCACTTATTAAAAGAGGAGCAGGTGCATTGAGAAATGGCACCATACTTGCATCCAGCACCGATAAACCCAAATTATCGAAAGACGAGATGCAAACGAAAAACGAAAACAGCCATGGATCCATAGGCGTTGGATTGGATGTCTCCATCACTTGCTGAGCATAATTTGAACTTGCAATGTAGATGCGTAATGCTAGCGACCCGATGAGATTGACTGAAAGGTACCAAATGGGGATCATCTTGGATAAAAAGTCGATGGCACGATATTCTAAACCACCAATCTTGTATCGTTGTTCACGCGTCAATTGGCTCTTGTCGATTGGCTTTCTCAAAATTTCATTGATGTCCTCTGTAAAAAGATCATCCTCATCCTTATCCTTGATTCCTCCATCTCTTGTGTCATCCATCAATTGTCTTGCACGCTCACGTTGATATGCAATGTCGGGGTTGAACGCTATACCACCAGGAGCACCTTCCTGTTGAGGTGACACGGTTGGCTGGCTATGGGCAGCAGCTGCAAGAGAAGGGGTTGATTGTTGTTGTTGTTGTTGCAGCTGTTTCATTCTTTGCGCAATCTCCTCTTCACCAAATGCAGAGTCATCTTTGCTATTCTCGGTTCGAAAACGTCGCAACACGATTTGTAAAGGACCCGAGTTTGCTTCACGGCAATCCGACATGGATTTGCTACGCCAAAAAGGAGGCTTTTTTCTCGTAACCCCCTCTCGCTTCCTTTGTTTAACTCGTTCTTGAAGTTCTCGGTTATACGCCAACACGTCTTCAAATCGCTTTGAGAAGTAATGCTTGCGCACCAACACAATGATGATTGAAACAATGACATGTGATCCGCAAATAGAGCTGAAAAACATGAGCAAATACTGATATAGGCTGAGCTCAGACATGGCAATCGTATTAAGACCCGTATTGGTAGCTCCCGTAGTGCTCATGTATAGCGCGTCAATGAAATCCCAATCTGTGCCAGGTTGGCAGTAATAAAGACCAGCAAAGATAAAGCACAAGGATATGATGTAAAAGTAATGAAGCACCAGGAAATTGATATGCTCGCTCCAAAACGACTTGATACCCTCCATAACACGCCTGCAGTCGTCATGCATGTTGATGTTATAAGAAAAGGAACCAGGAAAGCAAGAGATCCGAAGACGATGCGGTCAACTAAATTTATACCAAAGGCATCCTTTTGTGCAACATCGGTTGCATTGAGTGATTTACAGCGTCATTAATCCCTCAAGTAGCTCTTCTTCCGCCTTTTGTTACATTCAATCGAGCCCGGTGGCTATTGTCAGGAATATACGTTGAAGAGAAGAATATCATACGTTACATTTTTCTTCCTATCCCCGCATTTTCCTTTCACTGCAGGTTACAAAAATGACTCGTTCCTATCAATCAAGATGACCGTCACGAAACATACCTCGCGAAAGGACAAAAGACAATCGATCAAGGGGCTGGAATCAAGACATCCATAACCAAACAAATCCACAAGCATGCTTGTTGGCAAGTAAACCAAGGCTTTGGTACGCTTGTGATATAGAAGATGAATAACGCAGCTACCAACAACACTCGCGTGGTTATTACCATTCATGTCATATGACTAAATCCATGATCCACGTGAGATGCCGCCTATATTGGTTCATTCACAAGCACGGGTTGCCTATACACATCCCTTTGAATACGATTGTTAACCAACTTTTTACCGATGAAGCAAACAAATAAGCATCCAAAACGCTTCTTTATTGCTGCCCAGTTAACAATCAGACAACGCACCCTCGTTCAATATTCATTTCAGCTATATAGAAACGCCCAACTAGGAGGCATTAGATAGCTGTTGCATAGCAACCAAGATAAATCATACATCATGTTTCGAGCATATCTACTCAGGATTCTAGATTATAGTTGTCACGCTCGTCAAATGGTCTCCCCAGTCAGCTTGGCTACTAAATGCGACTTTTTAAAACAGTTGATTCATCCTTGGACGTTTTGAGAAAGCCCTCATCTTGATTTTAAGCGAGCTAGCGCTGCATTATGTAACATAGCAACAGCTTTGATGACATCATGGTGTTGAATGGTGATGACAGCAGGCTTGAAAATGTTGGCCTATGCATCCTTATTGTTCTTGCTCCTTTGTCTAAAAGAGTACAGCTACTTGCCTTACAGCCATTTCACGTGACCAGCAGATGGGCGTTTAACGCATGCGACTTTTTATTATATGGATCTGAATACTACTTTGGTACATGGGATAGAAGAAATTGGATGTATGCATAGTAACTTGAAAATGCGGGGACGTTGTTCTTCATTGGAGGTATCAAGGTAGGCCATCAAGGGGTTGCTATGGCAAATTGCCACCCGCCAATAATCCTCGAGCCCATAATGCTGTCACACTAGGCAACAACACGCCCTACATGAGATCATCGTTGGTCAATTACTATATACAAAGAAAGTCGTAGTTGGTCAATTACTATCGGAGACGAATGAACTTTCTCACGATACGCACCACACCATGGGCTCCGGATAGTAGACAAGGACCAAAAAAAGTGGGCGAGTGGATGAGCATCTCTCACAACAGCTCACAATAAAGCCTTGTTGTCTTTAACATTAAACCAACTGTGTCATCATGTGATGCGATCATCAGCGTAGATTCGTTGAAGCTATGTCATCTCATGAATTGAGCATACTCATAGGTGTGAAAATGACGTCGTACACCTTTTCATAGTATTAGGATTCTTGAGCGATGACATTAACAACGAGTTGCGTGTCCCATATGGAATGCAAGATTAAACCAATGAGACAATGAACGCTCACTTGTGCTACGAAGCATACCATATGAAGTAGCTGCATGCATTTACGATAACGGGGCCTATGTACAGGGGCCCTAGTAAATAGCACGGCACTAGACATAAGGAGATAATATGCAAAGGACTTTGAGGCTCATCAGCCTTTTGAGAAACGTCCGACCACACCATTGACGCGCTCTAGAATACAGAAGATCCGAATTCCCCACGAGATGCTTAGTACCAAAAACGTGCAGCTCATTGTGCAATCACACTTTGGCGTTCAACTACCAATGAATGAAGACCTGACTGGGGATGGCTAGTGCCCTTGTACTGATATGGTGGGCATGAGATAGTTGGGGCAGGGAAAATGATTAGATGAAAAAGCTACACAAGGCCATAAAAGATAAGAACGGTCGTTTTTGGTAAATTTGAGATAAGGAGGACATAAACTACCAATTTGAGTAACCATTTGTCTCATGTGATGATCATGCTACAGCAAACAAGGTTATCTACAAAACAAAGAGGCAATGACAGCATGTACATTAGAGCTTCACATTGGCATGTTTCTTTGAGTAAACGGATTTAGTTGGTATTTAGGTATATATCTAGGTGATTGATTACATGGATATGCGATGTTTCTACAAGCTAATGAAAAATAATATTTACAAGAATGGGTAAAAGAATGGGAGGAAAAGGAGGAAAGGGCTGAGAGACGACGTTACACATGACATGTAATGGACAACGCTTCATGCGACTGTGTTACCGGCTGGAGTAACAGAAACAAGGGATTCATACGGAGGCAAAGATGGGCCACTGAAGCTATGTTGACGACCCGTGCGTAAGGCTGTTGAATACGATGGCACTCGTGTCAAGTCAAATCCTTCCCAAGGTGCTGGGCCTTCATCTTCACTGCTGCTGCTACCACTTGTACTTCCAGCGTCATTGAAAAGTTGAGTGGATGGTCTTGAAAATCCCGATGCCGACAAGTCACCGGATGAAATCAGCGCTGCGATGGTATTGGGATCATAGGGTAAAGATTTCCAAGCATCCTCGTATGCCGGTAATTCGTTTGCATCTTCTTCAGGTGCCACAGAGGCAAGAATGATGGGAACGGCTGCTCGTAATTCTTGAAAGGGTTTAGTTCATATGATACCAATACCCCCAATTAAAACTTTTTACTTACCAGAAATGTGACCATCCTCGTTTACAAGGCATACGGTGAATTTAAGCTTATGCTTAATTCTGATGAGATCGCTGCAAGTATCGGATTGGATGCGACGATTCTCTTGGCTGGGGACGTATAAGACCTCCGTTCTAATCCATCGATCTTGTCGACCAGAAAATCGAGCATCTCGCAAAGTCTTAATAACACGTCCTTCGGTTCGGCTGTGCTCTTGAGTGCTCAATACGGCATACTCTTTGAGATGGCATGCAATGGCTCTCACTGATAATCCAGGTGCAATAGGTACCAAGTCAAAGGTGATGGGAATGGATGTGCCACAGCTGTAGACCTTTCTTGGGATGCTGATGTTGTAGGAAATCTTTCCAGTCCACTCATTGGAAATGACAACCGATTGGCTGAATTCAAGTGATGATGGAAGCATAAGGCGAGTGATGGTCAAATTACGCTTGGCAACGTAATTCATGGAAAAGGCAGGTCGTTCAGCTACAGCCTTCAATCGATAATACACTTGACCCAAGTCATGCTGTACAGTGCCTGGAAGGTCTCCTGGAAGGGGTAATTCAAAATCCCTATGACTAATGTGTCAGCCAATGTGCACCAAAAAGAACGTATGCTAACATCATGTAGCACTTACCACTTGTATCGGCCTTCTGATAGCTGATGTGGTTTACGTCTCAATTCCATGAATGTCCATGTGTGCTCAATGATGGTCTTTTCATGTTTGTAATGGCGTTGATGTGATCCATGTCCTATATGGCATTATCCAATTAATGATTTTGGTTGATGGGATATGATAAAGCATGCTATAATTACCTTCAGTCCAATTGACCTTTGTCTTGCCTTCAAGTTTGAGTGTTAGCGACTTGATTTTGGTTGCTTCGTTGCAGTTCAGTACCACGGATCCTCGTAGAATAACACCGGCCGATTCTTCGGGAGCACCATGTAAGATGATATGATCTGATTCAAGGTTGACGGCAAAGTATGATCCGTGCACAAGTGGCATTTGCGTGTGTGATATCGTGGGGTAAGGAGTAAAGGTAAAAAGTAAAAAAGTGATGATAGAAGAGAGAAGAAAGTGGGAGGAAAGGGGAAAAGACGACAAATAAATAGGTGCTGTGCCAGCCATTTACCTCTTTCCTGAAAGCGGCAGTGCCTTTTCCCGATGATGCACATGGATCCGCAATGCATGTCCCTCGTTTTCCCGTTTCCCACCTCTGTCAAATATGGAACAAATCCTCACATGGAAGCTAAAATGGGCCGTCATCATGCTGTAAGACCAATGCACATTAAGCCGACTTAGCCGTTCTTCCAAGTGTTTGATCCTTTACACGCAAAATCGGATTTACATTGCCAGGAATGGGGTTCACTGCATAAACCAGTTTTGGTAACACAAGAATCGGGAGAGTAAAACCGTGCGATCCACAAATCAGGAACGAATGGAAGAAAAAGGATCTATTCACTGACGTCCCGCTTTGCTGCTAAGATAAGACCCGCTTTGACCCTTTTGGTTATTCGGATGCTGCTTGACATTGATAGATCATAAAACAATAACGTGGGCTACCATGGGGATAACGTGAATACCTTGACTTGACGTCTTTCACATTATGAAAAAAAATCACGCCAGCTGACTTTTTAGCCGACATCCCTTCCTCATCTCATCTTTTTCTCCTTGCCCGTGCAGCCACCACCATCACCACGTGCATTATGGATCACCCCACAAGGGTTGTCGGCAATAGTGACGGATGTCAACTACAAGCCTTCTCATGCTATGAATCTAGTTAGCTGCCAACAACCTCATTTCCCAACTTCTGAAAAGGCGGCAAATGAATCAAGATTCTTGATGGAACACAACACACCATTCGAGAAAAATCATTCCACTTGTCAAGGATGGACCACAAGTGTTACGTGATCATTAAACTCAGCTTCTGTGGTCTGTAATAAGTATCGGCCGATTGCTCATATCATGCATTGTTCTTTTTTTTCATCAAGATCGGCGTGCATTGATCTCTCTTTCCCAAAGAATTGGAAGAAAGTCTAGACAGACTTTTGAGTCACATGTACGCTTGTTGCATAATACATGCATTGATCCCACCCATCCACCCCCCCCCCAGAGAATTGAAAGAAAGTCTAGACAGACTATTAGGTCACATGTCTTTGATGCATATGGCATGTAATGCTCCCCTTATAACCACTCCTGAATATCATGTTTATATATAGATGGTATCATTTTTATTCCAAGGAGTAAGAGTTGAAAGTAAACAACGAGAGGGTTATAATTATCCATTCATTGTCTGGTATATTGAAGCGTCAAATTCCGTCACTACCCGCTCCGATCGATCCGACAGGCTTGTTCCACGCTTGCCGGTGACCAATCATCCTTCGTCAACTCGCCTTTTTGCATATATGGCTCTTCTTCTGCAATCGGGCATAATAAAGGTACAGGATGGCGTTATTGCATGATGATAGATCCAAAATTCAGCGTATCAGTTGACTTGGTTGTGGTGATGGTGATGGAAGCTGCAGCTAAGTTGGTGTCATGCATCAGGGTTACCAGCAAAGAATATGCAAACAAAATGAAAAGCGGCATAACTTGAAGCAGAATCCCCCATCGTTGTATGTAAAGTAGTCGCTGTTGTTGTTTGTGCTTGTTGCTATGGCTACTATAGTAGGTATGTGGTGTGTATCCAGGGCCGACGAATGTTGCACTGCTAAAATCTGGGTCATCCAAAGATCCATCTTGCCCAAAGAAGGCGTTGTACAAATCCTCAGGTGATATGTTGCTGCCATGGTTGTCGGATCGGAAAAATGGTGAATTGTGGTGTTTTGCATAGTGCCCACATGCATTATAGATCGCACGTTGTTCTGCATCGGATAAAACAGCAAATGCTCTGGAGATTACTTTTTATGATAGAGAGCATCATTAATAATCATAGCCATCTTTTCAGCGATATGCCGTCATACTTACATTTGAATGCTTCATCAGCACCTGGGGCCTTGTTTTTATCAGGATGATACTGTAATGCAAGCTTTATTGATAGGATGAATGATATGCCCTTGATCCACCACAACCTTTGCCAACTTACCTTTCGATACGCTTTCTTGATTTGGGTGGATGTGCAATGACGATCCAGTGATAGGACACCATAATAATCATCTCCCTTCTCGAGGATGTCGTTCACTGATGCCATGTGTTTGGTTGTTCCTGATGCAGGCTGTTGTGGCTCGTATGCATGGTTAACTTTGTCACTGATACGGGAATCGATATCTTCTTGTACACAGTCGAGTGTTGTAGTGGCGATCCGGTGTTGAATGTCGTGCTCAGGATCCCCAATCGACATGTCGCAATGGGACTCATGAAGGTCGCTTGTTGTTGAATGCATTAGCTTTCCACGCTTAAACGTAAACAAAAGAGATAAGAGTTGTTGTCAATTGGAAGTAGAAAGCAAAGAGGAGAAGCGGTGTGGTGGTGATTGGGGGGTTATGGAATAATGGCATGTGAAGCAAATGTAAGAATATCATATGAGAGAGAATGACAATCAACATTGCGCTGCCGCAGACAATTTATTGTTTACATAATCCATCACACCAAAAGTATCAACGAGATCACAATAAGCTATGTTGAATTGTCGTAGGCTTGTAGACCTATCCACCATATCACGTATGCCTTGACATGTCAATCCTTTGCAACAAACCAATTTCAGCGTAGTCAAGCATCGCATCTCTCCCCATGCCGCCAACACTGCCTCCGATAACATGCATGTCATGTTGTGCAATTCCAACCTCCTCAATGATATCGCATTCTTGGCGAATCGACACAATCCTTGTTGAGTCACCCTTGATCCTGATTGAACGAGTAGTAATTCCTGTAATCCTTCTATAGATGATAATGCATCCAGCTCCTCATCCGTCATATCACGACCCCAGTAACGCAATACAAGTGACTCAATCCCCCGTAACGATTGAAGAAAATTACTTCGATTCATGCTGTTACTAAACCGCCCTAGGTCAAGTCGTTTGAGATTTGGTAGTTCTCGTAATGCTGTCTCAGGTGGTGATTGTACTGGATTAGTCGTCCACAAAGTCACATCTTCCAAAGCTGGGCATTGATGGATCATGGTTTCAAGTAGAGTGGATGAAATAGTGATGTACTTGAGAGAAAGTGTGCAAAGTTTTGGCCCATGGATCAAGGCAAGATTCGTCCAATCCGATCGGCTCATGCTACCACCACCAAGCGCTCCACCCAAACTTAACAACGATAGCGTATGTTGATGCTTCATCACCATTGGCAAAATGGCTGCTGCAGTATAATCGGCCGCTTCACGCGTAATCAATTGTTGTAATCCTGTTGATCCACCCCTTTTGAGATCATAATCAATCATATCAACACCTTGTTGTTGTTCCCATGAATTGCATTCGAGAAAAGTGAGCTCAGGACAACATTGCATGAATAAATCGAGATCAATTGATGCACTGCTTGGAAGTAAATAGGCGTCGGTGTCTGGTGCAATATTACACACAGCCAAGTACTTCAAGTGAGGACACCGTTTAAGTATTGGTGCGAGACGTTTGTGCTTATCCATGACGACGTCCAACCGTAAATGCAAAAGTCGATCGAATACGAGGTTGTCAGGCAACTGTTGGCATAGCAACGGCTCATTATTGTAAATCTCAGCATTGGACTCCAAAGACGATAACGTAAAGTGTGTAATGTTGGGGCACAAGGCTAGGATATGTATGATTGCCATGTTGTCACTGTGCTCGGTAAAGGTAAGCTTGCGAAGATGTGTGGTGAGCGGTGCTAAAATCTGCATGAAACGCCTTTGGTCTGGTAATCGACAATGGGTAAAGGCTAGTGCCAATGAAATCAGTGTCATACAAGAACAACCCTGTGCTATAATTTACCAAGCGTTTGTAAGTGGACACAGCCTTGTTGAGTAAGCATATGAAGAACAGCACATGTCTGACTATCATTCGCCCAAGAGATTTGACAATGCTGCACATGGGGTCCAAGACATTCCTTGAATCGCTCATCTTGTTGGCCACCGGAAATATGAACTTGACGCCACACAAAGGTTGCATACTGAGGCACAAGCTTATACCAAGCTCTTGATACAGCCATACATTCCAAGCAATCGTTTTGGCTGAGACACGCAAATATGCGCTCGATGATGTCGTATGGCAACCGTTCGATAAGCTGTATATGGTTCACCGTCATGGAAAAGGATAAAGAAATACAAGATTGATTACAGCCTTCCAATTCCCACAAAGCCGCACCACCACGCACACTCGATGTAACCTTTGTTTTATCTTTACACAGCTCACAGTGTCATCCCTACATTGTTTTCTTCTCATTATGATTCAGCTTTTCAATCACTAAATGCTGTGAATAAACAATGCATACATAATCAATGATGATAGTGGGTGCTTTGGGTGTTTTAGTTACAATGATTTATATGCATACGTATGATTATAGTATCAATGTGCACATTCTATATCGATATGAATTATACAAATGGTGGTAGGAATATGCTCCTGAGCATTGTATATTACATGTTGTACTTGCACATATAGAATGAGTGATAATTAAGTGGAAACACCACCCCCTCGTAATGCCACAGGAAGACAGGATATCGTTTCAGGACCGACAATCCGACACGTGATCTTCGGGCCGGTGTTCTACGCACTCCTATTGGCTCATTCTCTATATGGAAATTTTGTCCAATGTCACTTTGTTTCATTAAAAATTTTCAACAGGAGCGTCCATAGTCTAGCGGTTATGACGTTTGCTTTACACGCAAAAGGTCCTCGGTTCGATCCCGAGTGGACGCACAAGAACATCGAGCTTCTCGGTGTTCAATAACCTTTTGCTATTTCTCCAAATTCTTTTTTTTTTGATAGATCACGTGATGTTGATCATCGTTTGTATTCATCTTTGATTTATGCACACCATTTTCTTAAAAAGCTACCTACTACCTGCAATGTATCGGTCAGCTTTACTATGGTAGAATTACATGGTATGTTATAGAAAGAGAGCTTACGTTTAGATACACGTATCATGTAGCATTTTGGCTACTTGATGTTAATAGTGTTCACCTTGCAATGATTCCAGATCTCCTCTCTAAGACTAATGATACCTTAACGAATAGTAAAGATATGTATGTCGAGTGTTATGACCTTGCTGAAATACATGTAGATAATTCTGGACAAGCAAAGGGATGCATGCATGATTGTGTGTATAGTGGTAGGTCAGCAGCATGTATTTGTCCTTTTTCCTTCCATAGCATATAAACGACGCCTGTATCACATTTCCTTTCTTTAACAAGCTGTTTTTTACAACATGGGAAAGGCTTCGACCATTTGGGTTAGGCCATCATGACAACAGCAACCACAGCATCACCTTGTTTTCTTTTGTTGGTATTCATGGTTGAAAAGGTTTGATAAAATCGAAGAAGAAAAAAGATAAACAAGTGGACATGGTATTTATTGTCGATAGTGAGCATGTGGCCAAATAAACTTAGAAAGTAAAAAGATGATGAAAGGGAGGTAAGGAAGGAAAAGAGAGAGAGATAGAGGAGGAGGGGGGACTGGCTACGTCATTACCTCGCCATGCCGGAATTTGTCTTTTTGCTGAAGCTATCGTCTTGACCTTCTCTCACTTTTTTGGCTTCCCATTGTACTTGCACCAGAATCTTGCCATTGGATTCCCTGGGGGTGAGATACGCTTAATCAACCTCTTTCGGTTATTACACCTTCTCCTACATCACGCTCTTGTTTATCTTTCAACGACTACCCCCCCTTTTCTTCACACGAACTATAACCACCTTGCTCATCGCCGACCTCCTACACCACATCCCATTCGCCGCTTGTACATAATGTCAGAGCATCCCAATCCAATATCGACAACACAACAACCTCTTTCTTTACCAGAGCACATTGGAAAACGCGTCGATCCAGCCTATTCTAGTGTACTGCACGCACGAGTAAAAGAGATACTACATATACACCACGACAGGTACCTCCTACACGCACTAATCACTCAACGCCATAATACTGACATGCCTTCGTCCTCGCGTCATTTCAGCTTTCCGGGAACCCAACCTGTCAGTTTTGAAACAAAGCATCTTTCAGAGCTCGAGCGTGAAGATTATTTCGTATGCGAAAAGACGGATGGTATCCGATATCTACTCTTCTTTGTTCATTCACCAAAGGGGCCAGCTTCATTCTTGGTAAGTACGGATGGCAGGTTATAGCTTTTGGATGTAATCTCATGGATATGTATTGTGAAGCTTGATCGCAACAAAGTATGGTATTATGTACCCAACCTCCTATTTCCCGTTCGAGGCCGAGACAAGGAATACCTCAAGGATACATTGATGGATGGTGAATTGGTCATGGAAGAGGAGCCACATGATAAGGTATGTAGGTGCCGAGAGAGAGATCAATAATGGTGTCTAATACCTTGTATCTAGAAGACGTGGCGTTTTCTTCTTTTTGATTTGATGGCTATCAATGGCACACCGGTGACAAAGCGATCTTTCAACACGCGATTAGGTGTATGTATATCATCACTACTTCAAAAATTGTATACTAAAAGTAGCTATATATGTAGGTATTGCGTCAAGAAGTGATTGCACCTTTCAACAACAGTCTACGACACATCGCTGATCCCAGCAAAATGCCGCCATTTACGTAAGTCTTGTTAACGCAGAAAGTACTTTATGCTGATACATGTGCGCATTACAGAATAGAGTTAAAGAAGATGGAGCGATCTTATGGATTGCATCTCGTTTTTGAGCAAATGGCCAAGCTAAAACACTGCACGGATGGAGTGATATGGACACCAGTGAAATATCCATACATGGCAGGAACGAGTGAAAAGCTGTAAGTCAAAGGATATCGGGTATTACGTGATGTCTCATTAAAGGGAAATGGATAGCTTGAAATGGAAACCACCAGAGCAAAATACTGTTGATTTCAGGATATCCGTACGATGGAGCAAAGAGCACAAGCCGATATACTCGCTGGAAGTCTTATCTCATGGAGTGACCTATAAATTCTTTGATCATTTTCAACCCGAATCGAGCCTTGCAGGAGAGTAAGTACTTTGAAAAGGATTTTGGAGTAATGAATGATTGACATGAATGATATAGATGGAAAGGACATCCACCAGATGGGCGCATCGGTGAATTCAGGTAAGGCTTCTTTTGCTACATGTAAAAATGCCTTGTATAACTCATTTTTCTATAGATTTGATCCTGATTGGGAAGTCACCATAGTTGAACAAGGTTATGCACCTACTACTCGGAAAGGAGGATGGCGGTAAGAATCACGTGATTACAATGGGGATGGTCATATTGATGACGAGATTATGGTGATAGGTTTGTTCGATTTCGGACCGACAAGAGCACGGCAAATGATGAAGGAGTGGTGAAGAAGATATTGAACAGCATTCGCGATGGTATTACACGTGATCAGCTATTGGCGCATATGGATCGAGTGCGTAGTGCATGGAAGGCTCGAGAGAAAGGATTACCACCACCTCCCCACAAGCCTGAAGCTTTATCATTATCAACAACAACAACATCAGTGAAAACCAGCCAGCCGCTTGCTACACCTACATCTTCTATTTTACCATCACCATCAGTTACCAATTCATCAGGATACTTTCCAGAGCGATCCAATTCTATTAGCAGCACATCGGTATTGGATAGACGACGATCTGAAGCAGACGTACGTTCAAAATCGACACAAAACGCCACACCTACCACAGCTCCAGCACCAGCACCATCCACAACAATCCAAGTCAATGATAGCAACGGGCGGAAAGCATCTGTAGATAGTGGAATGGCGAATAAACGTGAAGCAAGCCCAAAAGTATCAGCCATGGAGAGGAAACGCTTCAAGTCGTGGACTGGAGAAGAGTCATTAGAGCGGATAGATGAACATCAACCACAATTATCTTCATCATCACCGCCATCACCACACCAATCCCCACGACATCATTCACAAAAGTATGAACAGCAGCAACAGCAGCAACAGCAGCAGCAGCAGCAGCAGCAGCAGCAGCAGCAAAAACATACCGAAATGCATCAAGCAGCGCAGGCCGCTGGGGAAAGGAATGGATTATCTCAAAAGGAAAAGTCCAAATCACCATCTCCACCACAACCACCGCCACAACCACCAAAACCACCATCCACGAGTAGTAGCAGCAGCAGCAATATACAACCATCGAGAACTTCATCCATTCACAGCTTATTAACAACATCAGTCGATCCTGTCATACAACAACAACAACAACCTTCATCCAACTTATCTCCATCACCGGTCACTACATCTGCAAACCCTTCCGCTACTATCATTGCATCACCACCTCCCACTAAACGACGCGCTTTTGATCTCGCTACTATATTGCATGATGACGATAATCGAAAAGTGCCAACTGAACAGCAAAAAATGGTACAATTCATCAACTATCATGCGGATGGAATGCATATCCAAGCAACATCATCACCAAGGAACGATAATAATGAATGGACTACTACTACTCTATCATCGTCATCATCACCAGCTCCAGCTCCAGCGCAATATCATCACCATCAACAACAACCAGCGATTTCAACCACAACAGCCCCTACTTATCACTACCATCACCATCAACACATTTCTTCTTCACCTATGGAACCTGGTGGGCGACAGCTTAGTGTATGGAAAGTACCTCAACAACAGCAACAACAACAACAACAACCATCATCATCACCCGCATCATCATCTTCAGACCAGAAACAAAAACGTAGTAGCAAGGCCATGTTGGATTTTATTCTAAATTGATATCGTGTATTATCTTTGTCGCCACTGCATCTGCTTTGTATATTCGTAAATACAAATTGCTCCACTGACATGGACATTCAATGATCGTGTAATGCCTTGTTGAGGAATCTCCACTGTGCTGTCAAGCATTTGTAATAAATTGGCTGGAATACCCTGACGTTCTTTACCCAACAAAAGTACGCATCGTTCAGGAAACTCAAATTCGCCCAACATAGTGCTCGTGGTCGTTTGTTCCAATCCACATAGATGGTAGCCTTGTTTCTTCTTTTCCTCAAGGAATTCTGGTACATCAGCTTCCGACACTTCCTTCATTGGCATCCAACGCTGCAACATCATGATACCATATTAGTTTCAATCATTGATTTGGCCAATTGCTGTTTTGTTCTTACCTCGGAAGCAACACTGATATTAACAAAGTATGGATCGTCCTTGACCTATAAGCCATGATTAATAAAAGCCATATACATCCATCACTCGACGAGGACTTGCCTTGATATTAGGAACCACTAATTGTGATGCATTAAAGATCTCACACGTCCTGCACAATCCTGCGAGATTAGGCACTCTATCGACGAGACTGGCCACCACAATAAGATCGTTTCTTCGTCTCTGTTGACGTTATTAGTGATCTATCATCAATACATAAATCAGGAAGGGAGTGCATTACCTTCTTTTGGATGATGGCTTTTGAGAGATCAACATCGGTCTCCATCATCATATCCCATGGCATAATCTTCTTTTGATAAGGTGCATCCTCCGTTGGCATGTCTTGTTTGTTGCTGTCAGATGGTGTCTCTTCAATCAATTCTGCGGGATCGGTATAGGTGTAAATCTCACGTCTTGTGGGGTTGGTAAATGGGCATTCTTCCACAGGCTTAGGATTGATTTTGGAAAATGCTCGCTAAATGGATATAATACAAGGAGTCAAAAGACGGCGACTTTTTGTTTCAACGCTAAAGGACCTACGGCAGCGATCTTTTCATTTTCAATAACCTTGAATGTTGTCATGAGTTGCCGGAAAATGAATTCAATGTTGTAATCCTTGATGGGATCAAATGTGCTCATGTAAAAGTGCGATTCAAACTTCTCCTTGAATTTGGCGGTCTCTGGGTAAGTGTCCATAAACGTAATCAAAGTTCTCATGTATTGATTCTGATCAAAGCCTGGATTCAATCCCCTAAATGGTAACGTGTCAGCATACAAACCCTTAAGAAATCAATAACATTTACCTTTCACGACAAGGCTTCAGCGATCGGAACCAAGCACAATATGCATATAGTCGCACTGTAAAGTTGTTGGATGTAAGCCATGGGATAATACGTGCGAAAATCTGTGAAATGAATGGGTTAATGAGCGTTCGGCTTGAATAGGACGTCCACAGAATTTGATATGTATATACCTCGTTAAAGTATCCCTTGGCAGAGTCATCGTCCAAGTTTTCACCAAGCGTAAATGTTACGGTGAGAATCGATACAGTGTGGTGGGGAGCGGTATCCGCATTATCGAGAAGCGAGTACAAGTGATTCAATCGACTAGGGAATGCCAAATAGAGTCTTGCCATAAACCACTATGCCTCCATTATCAGTGATCCAAAACCAGGAATAGCTACGCTTTCTTCTTACCTCCATATAGCAGCGCACTGAGATTTGAGTCTCCCCTTTCATTGTTTCAGCCACACGGTGTATAAAGTGATCAACAGTCTCCTCGGTGACAAAGCGTTGCAGCAACATAAAAGAGCACCATATCCGCAGCTGTAAATTGCGTTGTTAGTACCGGCAATGCAAGCATCGTATAGGATGATCATGCAGTGCATACCTTGGTTCGGTGTTCAATGGTTGATAAGAATTGGAAGGCCTTGAACTTCTCATTGTTCGTTTCCTCCAACAAATAATCCATGACCTGCTTAGCCAAAGTCGCGTGGTTTTTGTTGTCCTTATCCAGACGCAGCATCAGGTCGTTCATATACACCCGAACCATGTAGTCGTTTTGTGTAAAAATCATAGCTGCCGAACTACGTGATAACCTTTGTCAGCTATTTGCATGATATGGCCATTGTTATCCTTATACTTACTCTTGTGCTTCTTGGACAGCATCCGGTTCTTCATACTTGTGGGCGACCACCGATTCCAATTTTTGATCATCTCTCTCACGCATTGGGCCAAATACCAAAAGGCGGGCAATCTCACGAGCATATTGCAGCATGCTTTGATTCGCCTCGGGAGAATGGGTAGACCAAAATTCATATAACTGAGATGCGCATTGTGCAACCACGAATGGCTTGATATCACCAATCTCGAGTACATAGTTCAAGGCTCTCTTGATGGGTCCATCATCCTCATTCAAATCCGCTCGTCGTAATAGTTCAGGCTGAAAGACCATACGAATGATAGCTCGCATCATAGGTGGGCTTGTCTTGGATTGGTAAAGGTTCTCTTTGATAAGCTCAATGGCGTAGTTCACGCTTTGGTCAACCTATACGCACGCATCCATCCATATTAGCTTACACTCTGTATTCGAGCCACTCAATTAAAGTTGCTTACCAAGTCGTAAGACTTTTCCCATGGCAACGTCAAAATCTCGGCAACGCAGTTCATGAGAGCGGCTGCACAGATCTCCGATCCACATTCTAGTTGCTCAACAGCGGTTTCAAACAATGGCTCAGGGTTCAGTATGCTGATGCTGCCGTTGTTTTCTTTGGCCTATTGTATAGTGTACATGGCTAAGTACATGCATAAGCAGAAAAAGAGCATACCAAAATACCTTCTTTGCATAATGAACCAATGCTTCGATAGCTTCCCATTTATCACGAATAAAACCAGAGATCGTATCGCCCCAAGTTCTACCAATGCATGAGTGTGAGCAACACAAGTATACAAAGAGACCCATTTAACTACATACCTCACTTGCAGTGCTTCAGCCGTTTTCCTTAATTGGACGCCGTTCAACAATGTCGCAATGCTATCATCACAATCCAACACAAAGAGCGAATGGGCAAGAGCTGCATTATATAGGACATTCATCAGGCGCATATGGTCAGCCTTGGCCAGTTCCTTGTTGGCTACAGGAGCTATGGATGTATGTAAGTATTATGTCATGTATCAATATCTTGACATACGTGAAGTCTTTTTCTGTAACAGCTTTTTGCATCGCTCAAAAGACCCGGTGATCATCTTCTCACGAACGCCCTTCTCCAAGGTATCATCAGTAATGAAAATGCGGCGGGTGATCGAAATCAAAAGATCGACCAAATCATCATCTACCAAAAACAGAATGTGAGCATACCGTACATGCCAAATTCATTGTCCTTGAAGATTTTACCATAGGCATTGTCCTCGTCCTCATTCAGATATTGCGAATCAATGCGAGCCAAGATATCCGTTACGTTGTTCAATCCCACAATGACAAGGAAATCTATAGTTTGTGGATACGTTAGACAACAAGCAAGGTACCGCAGCTTAGTGACCAACCTTTACAGCTATCAAAGCATACATCGAATACATCCCAAACGGCATCGAGCAGTATAAGTAATCGATTAAACATAGTGATCGATCTACCATAAACCACGTTAACATTACATGATCCCATACTTCATCTCACATCTTGCAGCTTACAATGAACTATCGTTGAGCTTGGATACCAAGAGAGAGAAAAGGCGTGATGCATGGTCCTTTTGGGGCTTTCCATCCTTGTCAGTGATCAGAAAGATGCTCATCCGTGACAAAACGTTTGCTTGGTTACGTAAAAGTCCAAAGGGCACATCTATCAAGCCGATGAGCATTGTTGTTGATGATAGCGAAAATCGTTCCTACACCTTACCTTCTTCATCAGAAGCCGTTCTATTAATATAGCCATTTGCACGTTCTTTCAATTGCTCCAAAAGGGGATCCAATGACTACGAATCCATATTGTGTTAGTGTTTCTCAAGAAATCGTTCTTAGCAATTCGCTTACCTTGTCCGCAGACACCGCTTCTTCCAGCCAGCCTTGTATCGATAAGAAGGCATCAGATCGACTTTGGACAGGATAATCGGTAACGAGGGAGGACACCGTTCTATACTCATGAAAAAGCGTAAGAAGATGTCCATGCAACATGCGATAATATAACGTACTTTGCCACATCGGAAAACGATAGCTTATTCGTATTTGCAAATCGAATGACGGCTTTGATGGCGAGCTTACGCAGATAAAGTTTTGATTTCACCAGCCTAATGACATAAGAAAAATAAGATTGACGTTGATGTGAAGCATAAAAGAGACCTACTGGAAGTGGGGATGACGATCTACAAGATGACGCACCGACTTGAGCTCCTCTGGTCCCCATGCAGGCACACCATCGGTCTCCACAATGGCTTCCATAATGTAAAGAATTGGGATATAGCTCGCAAGTACGTGGCTCATGTAATGCAATAGCTGGCTCAGCAAACGCACCTATGCATAATCCAATATCAGTATATCATGCGTGTGGCCGATTGCTAATTGATCCCCACCTTCTCATCTGTATTATCCACAGCCGATACAAGATTTCGAATAAATGATTTCAACTTCTCACCAAAGGGGCTGATCAAAACACCTTGTGTTCGCACTGTATACATGGCCATGACATCCACTGTTTTGAGCATTGCACCAAACATGAAATCATTTTGTGAAGCGAGTAGTTGGAGGACGTTGCGATTTTCAAGCGTAAAGATATACTCGAGAATGCCCTTTTTCACCGAAGATGTCTCGTTTTGAAATCCACGGTAGAACAAAAGAATCCACCAAGAAGGGTCCATGGTTGTTTCGGCATTGGTCAACATCATTTCAAAACGTGGTAGTACAGGCTCCACCAAATGAATCACCGTTTCATGCATGATCTCGTAAAGAAGGAACCAATCCGCCCATAGATCCGCATAAAATTCTGATTTGGCAATCGACCACTGGAAATAACGTGTCCATGGCTTGTTGCTGGTAAGTTCTGGATGCTTCACAGTGAAATCGATGATGCGTTTCAACAAGTAGGCTGAGTATTTGCGATAAAGGCTGTCGTTGCTACGCAACCCACTCTATATCACTCAATCAGTACCCACGTAAAAGTACCATGAAAGGATTCCAGTACCTGTAGCACTTTGAAAAAGTCCTCTTCATAACGCAAATCAAGATAAACGATTGGGTGTTGACCATCACTGACAAAGAACAATTCAAAGAATCTTGCAATCAATCCATAGGTCTCACTTCGCAACAAATTGGTGGCAGGTAGCTCAAAGATTTGGAGTGTGCGTTTCCATAGCATCTTTTTAAATGATGGAATGAGTATCAGCTTAGGATGCAGGATATGCCATTTCCCTTTACCTTTGCCCAATGTTCACGGTTTTCCATTGTCACAGCATCCATTGATTGTTGTTGATGCCAACGATAAGCATTTGGAATCAAATCCCTTGTGAGCTTGGAACGAATCGGACCATCAGTGCAAGGCATCATGGCCACTGCAATTGCCATAAGCACATTCATCCAGCCAGCCATATCTCCATTATCTTTGTCGCTGATCTCCATCACAAAACGGCTCAAGACATCCAAACAGCATTCGAGATCAAATGTTGTTGTACCCTTGGCGGATAACATGGTTGAATCACTGATAACACTTGTAGCATCCTCCTCTTCCTCCTCTTTGGCAATAGATTCAGAACGTAGAGTAGCGACATAAGACTGAAGTTGTTTCCACTCGTCGGGTTGATTCACCAAGCATGATTGAGTAAACTGGACTGGGTTAAGGTCGACAAAATCAGGCTCGCTTTCCATGACCAAGAGCAGCTGACCGAGAAATAACAATAAAATTGATCGTCCAAAGTTGTCGTTGCTGGAATCAAATGTATCCATATCATCATCATCGTCGTGTCCTTCCATTGAACGTGCCATCCAATAGGCCACCGTATCACTCAACAAGCTCACGCTCTCGGTGGCTACCATCGATCCATGTCGAAAGCTGTGCATAATAAGTGGGTGCAAGTACGTGTGCAACGCATTCTCGCGATCAGCATGCGAAGATCGACGCAAAACAAAGGCTTTCAAGGTGGGCAACAAGATCTGCAAAGCTCCAAACCGATCCTTCTCGTCATCAGCCGTTTGGCGAAATCGACGATCCAGCTGCTTCAAATACACCTCCAATTGATCGACCTCGGCATTCTGCACAAGCAAGGCCTCCAATGGTGCTGATGCGAAATCCATGGCGCGGTGGAAAGAGAGTGCAAGAGATAATGGTTGTCGTCGCCCAGGACTTCAAAAATTGATAGGCGGGATGTCATTATCATCTCTGCTCCTCATTGTTGTTGTTGTTGCTCTTTGTTAATCCCCTCCCGTATCAATAAACACCCCACAATGATAACCGAGAATATTGATTAGTTCATATGGCTTGGAAACGTTGAATGATTTGGATTGTGGGCATATCAACAAAGAAAGGAAATTCACGTGATTACTGCAAATTCATAACGGAGTCCTTCCTCCTCCACAACAACGGCTTTTTGAGTGACCATAAACGCTGCGTAACATAGATAATAGCTGTATCCTTGGTATTGTAAACATGATCTTTAGCTATTCGGTGATAGGACCCTGAAAACTACTACGGCATTACAGTAAAGGATGTTCCTGCAGCAGCATTATCATTCCATGTACCACGTTGTTAAAAGTTGACCAAGGTTTTCGGATATGATGGGAATTAGAGTAATGGCCTTACTATAATAAAATGCATATCCAGTATGCTGGATTGGACAAGTCTCGGGAAAGGGATGGCATGAACCCTTTTTATTGCCTACTCGTTGGCTAATCGGTCAACGAAAACGATAGGGCAGTCTATGTTAAAATAAAAATTTCTTAAGGTCGCATAATGAAGGTGCTTGAATCACGGACTTTGATCATAGCAAAGCATGGAAGAGAGAGTTGTCAGGCATATAGGTAAACTACGTAATGTAAATGTGAAAAACGTCCTCGGACCGAGGGCTCTGTAAAACCCGCAATAAATTTTGAGGGTATAAAAGTGATATGTCAAATTGGGTTTGACAGCTCTTCATAATCAGGACATGTTACATTTACTTTCAAAGAGTCTTATTATCACTTTTGCGGTGATCAATGGTGTGTCAGCACTTACGCTACCAGCCCCTTCAGCCATTGAAGTGCCATTACGACTTGTGTCTCGCCCCCAGCAAGAGGGTGATCCAGAGCTACTTTATCGACGACAAGCTGATTCTACCTTGATCTATGAGCAAAGCAACTTGGAGCCTGTGATTCAAGTGGGCGTTGGTACACCAGCTAAAGACTTTTACTTGGTATTTGATACTGGCAGTGCCGATTTTTGGGTTCCTGGACCTTTTTGTACCAGTCGTCAAGGATGTCCATCGGGTCGCCGTAAGTTGTTGAGTTTAAAGAATTGAGTGATCTAGTCGAATTAATATGCTCTCTATAGGCTACGATCCATCAAAGTCCAGTACTCATGAAAGCGTACCAAGGAGCCGATCCTTATTTATGGCTGTATATGGGTCTCAAACGACGACTGGAGAATACATGGAGGATACTATTACAATTGCAGACAATGTGACCCTTCCTTCTCAAGAAATTGCAGCTGTTCTTAAAACAAAAGGCTTGCTGTCATCGGGGAATGCTGGCGGTGGTGTTGTTATTGATGGTATTATGGGAGCTGGTTATCCCACATTGACCATGTCATCCACCAATTACAACTATCAATACTTGCCGGTGCCTCAGCATTTGTATGAGAACAAAGTTGTGCCTGAGCCATTTTTCTCGGTATACATTGATGGTGATGATAGCCGTGGTGGATCCGTCGTATTCGGTGGATTGCAACAAAACGCCGTCGCCGATTCATTACGTAAAACGCCTGTAGCAAAGTCGACGCATTTTAATGGTGATGCTAATCACTATTACCAATGGCGTGCCCATATCAGTGGATTTTCACGCACAAGCACGGGGGATAATGCTTCATCAACAAATGTACTCAGCATGGATGAAGGTAGCAGCTTCCATTTCGATACTGGTACTGCTACAAGCCGTCTCCCAAATGGACAAGGCGACAAGTTAGCTCGTGCTCTCTTTGGCGATAGTCATGTGACCCATTTACGCAATGTCTATCTCATTTCAGATTGCACACAGTTCAAAAATCAAAATGATTGGGTGTTGAGCCTTTCTCTCCCTGACACTGAAGGCAATTCATTCACGATCGAGTTCAAGCCATCCGATTTACTCATCGATTACTTACCCATTTTTGACCAATGCATGTTTGGTTTCATGGATGGCAACGATTATTTCATTGGCAACAACCTCATGAAGGATTATGCCACTGTCTTCAACTTTGGTGACAACACTATTGGCTTTGCTGATATCAATGATGCATAGAATCAAAGGTTTTCATTTGCAATGACAACAATAAAATACAAAATGGGTGGTAGTAGAGAATGAATTTAATTACACAAAGAGCCTATTAAGGAGCTAAAGCGCATCACAATGGATTCACGAAATTGACAAGGAAGGATGAATAGAAGTAGTATATTTGGTATCAGAGTCATAGTGAAATGAAAGGTGTGATGGAACGGCATTCATGCGTCTCATTATAGTATATATGGGGTGGGTTGGCCATCCAAGACGCGTGCGGCATTGGGCGGCAGTCACTTGTACATAAAAATGCTAGGAAGGGTAGACTTCAGTGCTTGCTTTGCACCCGATTCGATTCAGCTTGCCAGCCCTTTACCTTACTCTTACTTTCGTTCTGCTGTCCAACACCTGCATTGGATTGACCATTCGACGCAAATGCAGAATCGATTTCGCACATTATTCGATACGTTATGCCAGGCACGCGTAGCAACTTCTCCATCTGCAGCAGACGTGATTCAGCATCGCTTGCAACAATACAAACCGGATTTCCTTCGTTTGCTTGACGATCTCCCAAAGAACGCTCAAGATCGCACTGAACTTCAGTCTGGTACGTGGCACATTTTACAACGTATAAAAGGCATCGCGTTAACATTGCGCGTTTACCCTTTCTTCCCCCCTTTTTGTAGGCAAGGCAACGATCAACGGTACAGTGCACAAGGTCAATGAGGAATTCGTCAAGCAGAGCATCTTTTTGTCCGATCAGCTCGGTATCAATGAGAATGTTGCAGCAGAGCTTATCATGAAGGGGATGATCGAAGCACCACGCGTCAACAGTACATCGGTGGATACAGCTATCGTGGAATATTACAATGAACGAGGATACATCTTGCAATGTCTCGAGATGATGGTGACTTGCTGCAAGGACGCTTCAGCCAACAAGGATGTTCAATTTGTATTCGCTCAGTTCATTTCTGATATCATGCAAGATCGCACCTCTGGCAACAAATCCTTTGTATCAAAAGTGTTGACTACCATCAAAGATCTCAGCACAGCAATCACCAATCTTAAGAATGCTGGATCGATTCAATTACCACAGCAACAACAACAACAACAGCAACAACAACAGCAACCGCAGCTAGCACAGAATACAGCCGATACGGGTGGACGATTGGGAGAATACATCATGGCTTTACGGATAGAGCGATTGGAAGAAGAGCGTATCACCTTGGCACAGATTCTTTATCATCTCACATCCATGCACTGGATCGATCCACAAGATGTTATGGCAATCGAAGAGATCTTGGAGCAAGCACAATTGACGGATGTAGCTACTTCCTATTTATTGCTCTCGTTGTTGGGTGCACTTTCGATCACGGATCACTTGAATTACAACATGCATGTGACACCACCTCTTTACAACAATGCCGATTTCATGAGTCGATTCCAGAACAAAATGACTGGTTCTCTTTGGAAGGTCCCAGCAATCAAATCAGTTGTTGTTCTTCAATGGGTGCTGTTTTTATATCGAGCAGTTCAAGAGGATCAGAGTGTGGAAGGACGATTACCAGCCAAGGAAGAACAATTGGAAGAGCTTGTGGAAGGTGCTATCAATTCCAAGGCATTCGAATTCATGAACGATTACTTGCTCTATTTCCAACAGCCCAATGCTAGTATTGAGACACAACGAGGCATGCTCAAGGCATCCGTTTACGAGGACACGAATATGATTCTTGATGGTCTTATGGTGGATCCAAGTGATTATACCAAGTTCAATGCCAAGATTCGAGGCGAGTTTCAGACATTTGTTGTTCATGAGATTGAGCAATTGGCTGTTGATTTCATTGAGAATCTACAAGGCGTGTTACGCAAGTTGAAATACAAGGAGGAGGATACGAGCACACCAGCACATGCACCATTATCAACGAGGAATGCACTTGCCAGCACTGAAGAGGATAGCAGCAAATGTCATGACTTGGAATCCTTTATGGAGTTATTAGCCAGCATTTATCGTGGTCGAGTCAACATGGGATGGAAATTCTGGACGCGAACCGATAGTCGGTTGTTTGGATTTATCAAGTGGGCGACGGATATCAAGGTGTCAGGAACAGTACGCGCATGTTACAGCTTTCTTGCATCTATTTCCACTGGCGATGTGTGTGCTCCTCGTGCATTCAATCATCTTGCGACAGGCACCAACACGAATGATCTTGCCATGAGTAGCTTGTTTTCATGGGGCAAACTCTTTGCTGCTATCCAATTTTACGTTCCTTTACTCCGCAACACATCCAAAGACGCACCTGCTGCTTTCCCTGCTGATGAAGAGGAGCTGCTCAAACAATTTTTACACTTACTCAAGCAAGTGGTACAATATTCTATGGAAGCTCGCAAGGCTCTTTGGTTCGACACTTTGCTACGTGCCCCTCAATCGATCTTTGAAATGATCAGCTGTGATACCTCTGTCGAGTTACGTGCAGCCTTGTTTGATGTTTTGGCAGCCTTTTGCTCTCCATGGGGTGGTGGCGTGGAAGGTGTAGGAAGAAGCATTTCCGAATTGGTATGGGAGGCTCTTGATACCAATGGCTTTCTTGTTTCCAAGCGTGAACCGGTTCAGGGACAACAAGAACTTGGTGATCAACGACCAGCTATGCAACGATTGGAAGCACCCAAACCACCAGGCTTTTTACGTGAACTTGCTATGGAACGCAACAACAAGGTGTATCCCGAGACGCTTGCTTTGCTCAACTTGATTGGATCAGCTATTCACACCGTATCCAAGCGAGAGGAGCTTCTCAATGGATTCCAATACATGCCATCTACTATTCCATGGGATCTCGGCAAAGGCACTCGTACACCAGGCGCTGAACCTTTCATTTCATTGGTGATTGACCACATTTTTATTGGATTGGAATCACAAGAGTATATCTACCCTGGCAGCAAATGGCAATTGAGTGAAGCATGCTTGAAGATTTTGGAGAACAGCATTCGATCATTCAACTTGAGACCATTGCGACAGGCGTTATCTCAATATCGAAATCTTCCAGCCAATCATCCACAAAGTCGTGCTGCAGCTCAAGGCTCTTTGGAACATTTGTTGCTCATGTATCTTGGACACCCTGGTTTCACGGTTATTGTTCGACTCCTATCGGGTCATCGTTTGGTGAACGAGATGCTCAAGATTGTGGAGGCAGGACCTGATGGTATCATGGCCAAGAAGGAAACTTCACCCTATTTTGTACAATGCGTTATCCGATGTCTTCGAATCATCCATCAAGTATTGGAGTTACAAGATACGTTCTGCAATATGCTTGTACCAAGTGTCACTGGATTATCGAGCAGGATGGCTTCTTCAGAATTCAAGATTGGAGATGTGGTATTCCCTCCCATGCCATCATTGGTATCTTTTGGCCAAACCATGTTGTATCACGCCAATGCACTTGTTCAACTTGGGTTGCTTGTCAATTGCGAGGATCAGGAGGAAATTTGTTATCTCAGCACTAAGATTTTGAATGCTCTTTCAACAGAGCCTCTTGACAGCAATGTTGCACGATCGGGTGGCAATATTCATGCAGCAATGGGTGGTATCGGCACCAAGCTTACCAAGGTGTTACGTGGATGCAAGGATGAAACACGCATTTTGTATGGCATCAGTGAGCGATTGGGAATTGATGATGAGGAAACCACCACGCCTGAGGATTATGAATACGATATCAACAACATTCCATTTTGGTGTGCATCCAAGACACTCGATGATAAGTTCTCTTTCGATTCGGACTTTCAGCCATCCATGGCTTGCTCAGTACGCTTGGCACTTGTCGATCTCTTACTCAATAATTCTATGCTCGACAAACCATCACCATCCCTCGTTGATTTCATTTTCGGCTACAGCGAATCAGCTTCTGATATCAATATCGCACTCCAACGTATGAGAAACGATGTCGATTTACGCATTTGCTTCCAATCATTCATGAATCTCATCAACCGTGGCATTATTCGACACGACGATAGCAGCGATGTACGACCACCTCTTGTCGCCACACATCCTGTATTGGCAGAAAAATGCTACAAGCTCATTTATCGAGTATGCACCAAAGAATCAACATCTTCGTCGACGATGCGATATTTACGAGGCAATGAAGATTTCTTTTATCGACATTTGGAAGCAATGCCCGCTCGATTGGAGAATTATCATGACATTGTTTCACCTGTTTTCCCTGGTGTATTGGTTAGCTTGGATGGTTCTCGTTCGCGGATGGATTTCTTCTCAGTTTGCTCGCAGCTACATCAACGTGCCTGGTTGCTCAAATCGGTTGCATTGGAATTACACATTATGGCTGGTTCGCATCAGAAATCCGATATCAAGCGATTGCTCGAGTTGTTATATGGACGACATGATGATACACATGCCGATGAGATGGTCGAAGATACAGATAGAGAAAGCGTCAACATTTTCGCCATGGGCACACACCGTTTCCAGCAACCCCTCGTCAAGATGCTTGAAGTGCTCAGCTCTTTGGAATTTGAATGGATCGATGATTTGGCAGATGGTTCGAATGTGGGCGAGCTTGTTCACTTTAAGGGATTTGACTACAAGCAATACGAGATCCAAAACGAACGCGATTGTTCAGTCTTTGATATTCGTTCGATTTATCAAGTATTACGCCAAGCTGAACGTCAAAAACAAGATTCAGGGGAGCTTGCCAACGATCAGCAGCGTCTGGAGCTGGAGAATGAGATGGGTCGTATTCTCAAGGTACTCATGGCGGAGAATCACAAGCGAGAAATTGCCCAGGGCAAGTTGCATTGTCTTCGCGCTTGGAAGCAAGTTGTTCAAGTGACACTTTCAGAATGTTTTGATTTATTCCCCTTCGAGACACGAGAAAAGATCATCTACGACTTGTTGTTGAAGTTATTGGCCAAGATCAAGGAGGCATCTGGAACGGAGCCCGATATTCTCAAAGGCTTTAGCGAGGTGATCTTGACATTGTTGACACGTTTACGAGAGGACAAGCTGCGACAAGAGATCTTGGAAGCATCACCCAGCCCTTCAACCAATGTCGAATCTTCACGACTCCCAGAAGAGAAGCTGCGTGTTATTTTCAGTGGTATCATTGATTGCATACGAGAGGACAATACATTGGTCAGAATGCGTGGTGACATGTATACAGCTCTGGTCAACTTTTTACACTACGTCAGCCATAACAGCAGCAAGGGCAGCAGCATCCAAAGCCAATTTGTCAACATCATTTCAGCCAACGAGAAGTTCTTAACGATCTTATGTGCTGATGCAAGCGATGGTGTGGATGTATGGAAGACGACAGCTTATATCCTACTCGATGCATTATACGTCATGTCGACCAAGGCCAGCAACGAAGCCATTCTCGCATTTTTGGTCAAGAAGAACTTTTTACGATACAGCATTGATATGATCCGAAGAGACGATGTTGCACTTTTGAATCTTTTGGAGCAGAGTGATGGTAAGTGGATGGGTGTGAAAATGTTGATCATGGATAAGGTGTAACCTTGTTGTTATTATTATTTAGCTTCTATGGTGCCATTATATATCTACGAAGCCAAGATGTCATTATTCCTTCGATTATCGCTTTGCAAACAAGGAGCCAAGCTCTTGATTGAGAATCGTATTGTTGATGTGTTGAGCCATTGTCAATTCATCGGTGCACGTCCTGAGGCAGCCCCTTATAACAATGGTAAGCTTGACATTGGAATTGGTCATTGAGTTGATATACTCATATACTTTGTAATGGTAGATCGCATGCAGACCGAAGTTAATTTCAACGAGCGATATGATCGCCTCATTATGCCAGCGCTCAAGCTCATCTCCGCTGTATTATGTACTTTGGGACGTTCCAATGGTGTGGTAATCGATAAGGTATGTGCTGTAATCAAAGCTGGATGTTCATTGTTTGCTGACAGAGGTATGGTTTTGTAGGTTGAAAGTTGGTGCCGCATGCAGCAAGAAGCCGTGCTTTTCATTCTCAAGGACGAGCATCAGCAAACCACGCTATCTTCTTTGGCACAATTGAAGCATATCACATCCATCCTATATCACTTGAGCAGTCGCCCTGGCTTTTTTGATGATTTGGTAGGTATGAGAATAGCCAAAGTCCATCACATTACTCATGTAAGCGATAGGTAAATCGACGTATGAGCCATCTTCACACAGCTATGGTGCATCTCATTGCAAAGTACCTGGTTCCTCAAAACTTATCTGCCAAGGTTGTGCCGAGCACTGACGAGGAGAAGCAATGGGCACAGAAAAAGGTCAACAGTAAGTTGAAGTCATAAAGGAGTTATCGAATACATGGCTCATCCACGAATGATAGATGATGCATCCGTCTTGTCAACAAAGGCCGCAGATACAATCTTGTCGATCCAAATGAGCCTTGCAGCTTATGCCCAAAATGCAGCTTTCACAACTGATGATCAATGTATGGATAAAATGAATGAATGTTATGGCACATGTGCATTTGGTTAACAATGAATATCTATATATAGGCAACAACTCTTTCAAGCCTCTCTTTAGCAGCACACTTGCTTCGACCAGCGACAGCGGTGCATCGGTTACTAGGAATGGTAAGGGGATCTTTATATACAACATGGGATTTTGTCTGATTAGCTATTCTAGCTTCTTTAAAAACGCCATCTTTATCCACCCTGACATCTTGCATTCGTCAAACCACAAGCAGCTTATATACGGCAGCAGCGGAGAGGAAACGATTTGAGACACAAAAGAACAATGTTGGCTCTATCAAATTGGAAGAAGTTCGGGAATTGGCACAAACAGCTTTTCCTCAAACCTTGAGCATCCATTTTGATCATTTGGGACCTTCTCAACAACAACAGGTGCTGATCGCTGAATTGGACAAACGTAGCAAACTGAAAGCGAAGCAGATGCGTCATCTTGTCTGTGAGTATCATGTGAATGGATGTTGTCAAGTTGAATGGCCCACTCATTCTTCTTTCTCTTTTATGTAGTCTTATTGGAAAATGTTTTGCTGGTACTTTGGCGACATTTAGAATACTATATGCAATCTACGGCGATATCACAAACGACAGCTGTACAACCCCTCGACTTGTATTCCAGCCAAAGCTTTGCAGTATCAAGTCAAACAGCCATGTTTCAACCTTCTATGGCTATCGCCAGCAACCTGAAAACATCATCCACGACAACGCTCATGCCTTTGTTGAAGAAACTTGAGACTTTAAATAACGATATACCTGAATTGCAAGCATCGGCAAGCTCTGTCCATGGACTTTGTACACGAATTAACAAGATCATAGCTTAGAGACATAGTGTCTTTTTTTTTCTTTTTCTCCAATACAACATTTTTATTCATTGCATCCTCCACTATCTAGTAATAGTACTTATTTCTGCCTACCCCCTCTTCCTCGTTTAGCTCCTCCACCTCGACGACTTGGTGTTGTAGTTTTTGATACGTCTGAAGCAGTGGATGTTGGACTAGGTGGATTGGATGATTTGGGTTTGGCAGGTTGATAATCGTCAAAGCTACGCCATGCATAATTTGTACACGCTGTGGCACCAGGAAGATCTTGAATCATCATGCCGACGCTGGGATGTGATAAACCAAAATACTCAGGACCAGAAACGGCAAAGTGTGTGCGTTGTGATTCTCGATTGGCTTCCTTCATGACGGTGGACCATGCAGCGGTTGGATTATCTTTTTCTATTACGAGGTCTGGCTGATCGGATGGAGCAATACAAAACTATAGCATGACAATGGATGAGATGGGATGGATGATATAGGGGTTATTATTTATTACCTTTGGTGCGGTGGCTCCTTCTTGAATAGAACATGTATAGGTGATCATGTTATCTGGATTGACCATGCTCTTGTATTGTCTATAGTAGTAGCATGGATTCATTAGTATAAATGATGGTGATGATGATGATGTATTGTGTACCTTTCTATTTTGTAACCCACTGGGAAGATATAACGGTTGTTGTGGTACGCAGGATTATCTGAGATGACGGTGCCGAGACTCAGCAATTTGATGGTCCCGAGTTGAATGGGCATAATGTAATCTCCTGCTTCATCTTTTTCGGCTGTCACGAGACGATGTCGGTTCTTTCGACCTCCTCCTGTTCCTGGGGCTGCTCGTTTTCTCTTTTGACCTGATCCTGGTGATATACATATATATATATAAGTACATACATGCAATAATGAAAGGTGTCATTTACATACCTATTGCATCCATGCTCATCCACGGTACTTCTTCCTCTGATGATTCCTCTGATGATGACGATTCTTCTTCTGGTGATGGTGCACTAAGCTCTCCCAAATCATCATCCTCATCATAGATACTGCTATCGTCATCATCCTCGTCGTTCGACTCTGGGTGCTTTGATTGATGATTGGCTGCAATCGTGTCCAATAGTTCACTATACAGGAAAAGAGATACATAATGAAAAATGAGCGAACTTGGAGAAGTACCTTGGACGAGGACCGTATCGTTTCATACATACCATCGTTGGCGTCGTAAGCGTGCAATGACTCGTAAGGATTTGTCCAACTGGTCGGTCAAGTCGCGATTCCTCTGCAAAGGACACACACTCAATGAGGACATTCTCCGATGGATACCGATCGTGCACTTACGTCGAGTAAACGTTGTACTTCAGCTTCCATTTTATCTGTCATGTTGGTCGAGCCGGCGATTGCAGCAAGTTGATCTGTTGATTTGGAAGTTGACATGGAAAAGAAGAGCGGCTAGTCGCAATGTGGTAAACCGTCATTTACTCCTCCGCTCCCTTCCACCCACCCACTACCGCGACGAGTCCAAGTAAGCAAAAAGCAAAAGTATTGACACCCGCGTCAGCAATCACTCACAATAAGCCACCTATAAATACGCGTCCACCATCATTGTTTCAAAGAGTGTCGTTTTACATGACATGCATAACGATGTAGTAATGACATGTGATTCCTTGCCTAGAAGATACATTATATAGATACAAAGCAATGGGTGATATCAACCAATGTAATAAAATGATGAAGGGGTGCTTGTGGTGGAAAATGTCAACGCTGATAAGATACTATCGAGTGAGGGATGTGGCACCACGTGTGTATGTTGTAGCTTGTGATCACCCATGGGAGGCGGGAGGTATGCTGCTGTGTGCGTATGTGTCAAAAGTGAATGACGTCGTCTAGTTGTCAAATACATGCACGCTTACACACATACCTTTAAGCAAAAGGGTTAGGGGTGGTGGATAAGAGCAATGTAAGAGAAGGGAAGCAAGAATAGATCCATTCATGAAAAGTGCCTAAATGTCATCATTCGACGGTGTGTATAGTGTGTCAAGATCACCTATATAAAGATTGGAATATCTGGGATTCAGGCGAATTACTGAATCTGCTAAACACATGACCTGTGTTGCGGGTTTGTGTTTGCTCCTTTCTCCACTTTCCTTCACTTTCAGTCATGGCCCGTACAAAGCAAACTGCTCGCAAGTCCACTGGTGGTAAAGCTCCCAGAAAACAACTCGCTACTAAGGCTGCTCGCAAATCAGCTCCCACTACCGGTATGCTTGCTCTATAACTCGTAGATGGAATGGAATGTCCATGATTGACTGGATTGGCCCATTTAGGTGGTGTGAAGAAGCCTCACCGTTATAAGCCTGGTACCGTCGCCCTCCGTGAAATCCGTAGATATCAGGTAAAATGACCCTGTGACAATGATTCGTCACATGTACTCATCATTCTTTTGTGTGTGTATATAGAAATCGACCGAATTGTTGATTCGCAAGCTTCCTTTCCAAGTAAGTTGAAGCATTATGGATGAATGACGACTACTGCGGACTCTTCTCACACACATTTGCTTTAGCGTTTGGTTCGTGAAATCGCTCAAGACTTCAAGACCGATTTGCGTTTCCAATCCTCTGCCATTGGTGCCTTGCAAGAAGCTGCCGAAGCTTATTTGGTCTCTTTGTTCGAAGGTAAAGGATGAGGCGTGTGTGTGTGGGATGTGTGTATGTGACCCTTACAATGGAATGTATATGATTTAGACACCAACCTTGCTGCTATCCACGCCAAGCGTGTCACCATTCAACCCAAGGATATTCAACTCGCTCGTCGTCTTCGTGGTGAACGCTCGTAAACCATCTATCCTGAAATGATCAATCCAGTAGTTATTGCAGTTTCCCTATCGTCTCGTTAAATCTGCTGTTCAATGAATTAAATTGCTGAAGTGCATGCATAAAACATTGTCCGATGTGTCTGCCAAGATGCAGATTTATTCAGCAGCCGTTGTTTCTAGTATGAGGGTATAATGGCTACAATGTTTGATTTGTTTACGGAAGAGTGGGACATGACAAAAGTGGTGTGAAAATAAACTTTAGTACTGTGTGGGTGCTTTATACACAGTAGATTGCAGTGAAAGTTGAACATGAAAAGAGAATTTTGGTGGATGAAGATTTTTTGGGTGACTAAGAGATTTATTGTTGGACGTTGGCAAAGTAATCTTGTGAACAAGCACTTTTATTTTGGAGGGTGGCGAGAAGAATAATGGCGGCGGGTGAATTCAAGAGCGATTGCTACTAGCAAACCCGCTGTATGTATGCATGATGCAAAAGGTCCGCTTGGGCATACAAAAAGTGGGTCCCTCACGTACACTGTTTGTACTCTTCTTCCTTTTACCTTATTGTTCCGCTTCCCCATCTTGCAAGCTGCATTCAATTGGGTCATCGCTGTGGATTGGTTGGCATATTACATGTGTTGGGAAGGCCGTTATTGCAGAGTACAAAGGCGAGAAGGATGTTTGGGAAAGACGTGCTGTTTTCTTTGTCCTGTTAACGCAAGCCTTTTCTTTTACGATACGAATCACCACCACTAGCAACGGCATTGCCATTACACACATTGACCACGGCATGGTATGAAAAGGTAATATGGTAGAAGTACCATGGTGGGGAAAGGGGGTTGTGCGATACATATGAAAAAAGGCTTATGTGGCTGATTGGTTTATTTTATTAGAATCAGTAATCAAGGACATTGTGCAGTATCGATCCGGCTAGCAAAAGGAGCAAGGCATCAAAGTCATAGGCTATGCCAGGAAATCCAAAGGTGAAGAATCGCTTGATGATCGCACTCGACTACTGCGAAAGATGGTCAACAATTTACAGTATCGATCTTTGGTTGATCTTGTATATGCTTCTCCCTCATCTTCTTCCAAGGAAAAGCTTGCCAACAGGGACGACAATGGAGTTGAAGCAGTTGAAGGAACCGATGGAACGACGCAAAAGCTGATCGAGTATTTGAATTCTTCGGGGATGCATATCTTTCTTGACAACCAACGTCGACGATTTACAACAATTTCTTGCCCATCACCGAAATATCAAAAAGATGCTAGTGGATAGATTACCATATACTTGGATAGTGATGAAATCATAAACAACAACAATAGTGCTAGTAAATTTGATTGTAGAAAAGGTACAGAACAACGATCGAAATAAACAATTTGTGTCTGTGTCGGAATAAGTGGAGCTGCAGGAAAGCGCTGGGCAATCGCATCTTCCCTTACTATGGCCACGCCAACAACACCCGAAACAGCTTCACATGAAGACACTCCACCATTCACTTTTGAACAAGCTGTTGAAAAGCATAAACAGGAAGATTCCACCATAGGTAAGCTTGGATTAGGTCTAATGCCCCTCTTGTGCTAATGAACAGTGATCTCTGCTATAGTGATCCTTCGCTTTCGAGCTATTGGCAACGCACCTATCCTAAAGACACCTTATCGAAAAGTCAATGCCACCTTCACCGTTCAGCGTGTAATCAACTTTTTACGTAAAGAGTTAAAGTACAAGGACATCGATCCCTTGGTAAGCCGTGTAAGGATATGGACATACTTGTTGCATGGTGACTTGACGCCTATCTTGTAGTATGTGTACATCAATAGTGCATTTGCACCGGCACCAGATGAGACCATGGGAACTTTATTCAAGGTAATGTATGCGAGGAGGTGGATACGGTAGGGAAGGTATCTAGCTAACATCCTTCCTCTCATAGTCATTTAGCACAGATGGTCAACTCATAATAAATTACTGCACAATGGCAGCTTGGGGATGACAACAACAAGATGATTGGATGATGAATGATGATGATGGCATGATATTACCCAACGACAATGAAAAGTGATCAACCATGTGATATAATTAAGCAAGAAACTTGGCTATCTATTTTACATCAAAGACATCATTCGTGCTATCGAGAGCCCAAACGATGCTTCCAACCTTTCCAAAAGGCTGAATTATTATTATTAGAAGTACTCTTTCTAGATAGCTTGATCGTCGGCTGGCGACTGATATTGGTGGTGGATGATTGAGGCGGCGGTGGCGGCGGCGATGTGGGTGATGATGATGAAGATGGCATGGTGGCAATGATGCTATGATGTGGTGGTGGATGATCAAGCCAAGCTGGTGATGGTGATCGTGGTGTGGTTTCTCGATATACCGTACTACTGCAAATATCCTGTGCTTTGATAGCTGCATAGTCAGCCGATGACCATGAGGATGCAGGTGATAATGTGGATATGGATGTAGAGCTTTGAACAACAGAGGATCGTGCAGGTAGCGGTGGTAAAGGATCACGAGGTGGTGCTGTGAGTGGTGGTGTGGATCGGCCAAGATGCAATGATGTGCTTAAAGAGGATCGTGTTGAGGCAAGTTGTTGCTGTTGTTGCTGTTGTTGTTGTCGTAAAGATGAGCAAGATGCGCGAGAAAGTGGATGACCCGTTGAGTCCGTTCTCGACATTTCTGATAAAATATCAATGGATGAACGCACTGAAGCCGATCTACTACGATTTGGAGTCTTGCAAGGGGGTGATGTGGTGGTGGTAGTACGTTTGAGCAAGTCTTCTCTCTCATCCAAGAGCCTTGCCAGCAAAGCTCTCTTATCTTCCAATTCAATACGTTGCAACTCCATTTGTTCCTGAAGCAGCAGCTGATCGTTGCTACGTTGCGTGCTGGATAGCTGAGATTCAAGTGCAGCAATCAACTTGTCTTGTTTACGCACAACCTCAGTAAGGGCTCTCGTTTGAATGCGTTCGCTTTCAAGCTCACCAGCTTGTAACTCAAACATCATGTGTGCCCCTCTTTCGAGTGCCGACATTTGCTTCTTGATAGAAAGGAGCTGCTCATGGTCAACTGTAACAACGACCTCCTTATCACAACTCATAGTCTCCTCGTCATTTTCATTGCTCGTTCTCGCTGATGTACAACCCGTACTCACTGAGCTCTTGTCATAGGTATCAAGTAGACAATTCCAAAAGTCGTCAGGTTGATCACTACGAGTCGTATTGGTCTCAACAGTGATACGGCGTTGTTTGCTGGCATCTTCAAGATGATGGTCATTGTCTTGGTGGCTGCGATAGGAAGCAAGTTGTTGTTCAAGCTCTTCGTGTTCTTGCGACATTTGCTCCAACTTGTCGCTCAAGTATTGTATACGTATTTCATAATCACGTATTTGTGATGACATGACGTTGCTGTCTTTGGTAATAATCATTCCCTCTTTGGTCTGAAGCTGCTCAATCGTGGTTTGCGCTGCTTGATATTGCTGCATGATAGTTTCATACATGCACGTCAACTCATTGATCATTACGTCAATTTTGTCGCCCCTGTTATCCTTATTATCAGATGTTAACGTTGATTGTGTGGCTGTTGCTCGTTTGTTCAATGATGAGGATGACGTCTTTGTATTAATGGTGGTGGTGTTGGTATTAGGTTGGGTAATTGTTGTCGTGTTTGTGGTAATACGTGCATGCTGGTGTTGATCAAACTTGCTGAGCATGGATGCAACCCCACCACCCGATGTCGTACGAATGCGTTTCAATTCAGCGTTGCTCTCTTTTTTTTCTGTGGGATTGCTATTCCTCCAACAAGTGTTCGCCAACTTTACCGGAGGTGAGGGTGGTGCAATTTGTGATGATAATTTGCACGCACCACTAGATGAGCTCGTTGCATTCTTGTTTAGTAATGCGACTGCTGCCTGAACGCTCATGTTGCTCACTTGATAAAGGAAGGGAAAGAAAAAAACACAAAAAGGGGCAACCAGCACTTTATATTCAGGCCACCTTTAATCAACCTCGCTTACCACCTTGTGTGCAGATCCAACAAAAGTAAAATCAACCCCCAAAATCAACCTCCTTGGCTCTCCTGTGTGCCTCTTCTAAAGATCAAAAAAGAGCACAAAAACTGCTTTGAGAGCGGATTTCTCCTTGAATAGATGTCATTTGTTGCACATGATAATGTGGGTATGGAATACAGCTGTACATTCTCTTAGCTTTCCCCCATTGTTCACCCGTGATTTATCCACCGTATACTTGTTGCTGCATCCTCCATACTCGTTGTTATGTATGTTGTGGCTCCCCAAATGTGCTCCCAATATGTGTCATGCAAGTATCCAGGGACGTGCAAATACATTCAATCTCCCATGCATATTGATCAGCCGCTTCGGATGGATCGGATTCAATATTCCTTTTCCTTCTCCTGTCGTCATTTTATCTGTCGCCTTTGGGGCTCTTTGATCCGCTAGGGTTGTTGCGAGAACAAGGGGCGTCCCTTGTTTGCTGTGGCGACTTGTGGTGCGCAACAAGCGCTATTTTTGTATACTTCAGATCTATCCTCGTGTGTGTGTGTGCTAAACGAAATACATGAAACATACTGCAAGGGGCCCAATATGCATATCCAGATACATCGGCGGTGATGTTCAATAGGATCTATAGCCAAGCTATTACAATAGCCATCATATGGATTTGCATTTTGATACTTGAAATACGTCCATTGGATGTTCTTTGGGGTTTAGCGCCTGGTGGTATTACACGCCGCTGCTGCTGGATCATGATTGCATAAGGGTACATATAGCTGAATCAATCATTTAATAAAGAGCGCTTGGGGCAACCATAATTCTGATGATGGGATATCCCTCGACAAAGTCTACCCATATAGTTTTGCTGCCATTCACGTGAAACTTGTAGTCAGCGACCGGTATAACATTTGGTTCCACTAAAGCACCTGAATCATTGATAGCGGATTGTATGATGCTATTATTGGCCATCCCTAGGTTATAAATGGGAGATTGAGCAATCATGTACTGCATTAGTAATAGTAAGCAAGTACAGATTTTAAAGCTGTGTCATGGGCTTTTAGGATCAAGAGATATGATTAGCTGAAAGTAGACACCATGGCTCGTTGATAGCACGTAGACCAGGAAACACCATTTACTGTTGCCATGCAAAAAGTTTAAGCCATTCATGCACTCATCGATCCGTTTACTATCTTGGGAATCGGTGGGCTATATACTACATGGACATCTAACGTGTTTTTACCTACATCAAACTAATGGCATCAGCTGTGCGCCAATAATAAAGATCATGAACAACAGGTGGGTGGCATAAAAATTATCATGGATCGTTTCTTTTTAGCATTGATGGCATCAACAATGGCCATTGCATGTAATCTATTAGTTCATTTATGGGTCATGCTATATTGAGACCATCTGTGACACCGTAAACGGCTCCTACTTGTCTTTGACAGTTATACAATCGTTCTTTCTCCTCATTTTGTAAAAGCACATGGGAGGGGATTTTTTTGTTGCTGATGATCTCTCGGCAATCAGGATCCGAAAACATGAAATGGTAATGCTAAATATGCATTGTCTGTGGTGTTGCTGCAAAGTGGCAGGGAGATAATAAGTAACCAAAGCCCTGGTTTCCTTGTCCGGACTCCTGCGATTTCCGCGATTTCTTTGCTGCAATGATGCTTATTGGCCTGGGTGCACGTGCCAGTTGATGCTTTTTTTGTCATGTTGTTCCATGGATTGAAGATACACACGGCCAATGCTTTCATTTCATTTTCTTCATCTTCTATGGTGCGATCCAAGATGGACCATGTCTATTATCCATTTCCTTTCAAGACAATGTATAGCAACCACATAGCATTTAAGCAATATGGTCACATAACGCGGCTGATATTGAATGTGTGCTACCTCGACCGCTAGAAAGGAATCTTTTGGCGGAGCAAGTGGTTGTATGCAATCGAAAAAATAGTTGTGTACCTCTTTCCACAACAAGTAGATCACTGGGACGTGGAAAATGATATAGGCCAACCCAGATCCAACTTTTTATTTCTTGCTGCTTCTTTAACCTTGTACATCCCTTCTCTTTCATCTTTTACCACTACCCTTCCTTTCACTTTACAACCTTTATCTTTACTTTTCCTTTCCTATTATGCGTCAATCGCTAATTTGGGCCGCCGCTGTCTACTTGACAGCTTCCACTACAGCATTTGCGGATCCGATTACCGTTCCTCTTTTCCGCCGCCACAACAACGAAGGCTTTGTAAAAGCTGATGCCGAGCAACTTGATAATGGCGTGGTACGAATACCCCTTCCAATACAACATACATCCACACATCCACACACAAAAGGAAGACGTTGCCATGGATACCAATTTTTCTTTTACTTCATGTAGCTAGGTGGCAAGGTGCTTATTGGCAATCCTCCACAAGAATTTACCATGGCATTCGATACGAGTGAGTAAAAGGGCTCAACTAGTGTGTACACAAGACCAAAGGAGAAAAAAGGGGAAAGGGGAAGAAAGGAGTCAACAACATGGTCACTAGACAATGAATTGACAGCCGACTAAAACTCACATGCGTTATCCTTTGCAGATACCGGTTACTCTTGGGTGCGAGGATCGCGTGTATGTTTGTTTTTGTAAACAGCCTACCAGTAATACCATCATCACTCATTCATTTTTGATGTATGTGATAGTGCAAGAGCGAAAATTGCTTGGATCGTTGCACCTACTATGCTCGTCGTTCTGAAACTGCTGTATCCACGGGCGAGAAATTCAAGGTTAAATATGGCGATGCTTGCGTTGAGACCACTGTTTACCTCGACTCCGTTGAATTTGGTGGGATGAAAATCGAGTCGATGCCTTTTGGTGGCGCTTATAGAATGACAGGATTTGACCATGGCTTTGGTATGCATGGTTTCTTCTTCTTTAGACACTTTAAAAACTAATTCTACTTTTGGGATGTAGATGGCTATCTTGGTTTGGGTAGAGATGTTGATTTTAACAAAACCACTCTTTATTCAAGCACAGCAAAGAGTAAGAACGTTACCACCATTAAAGAAAAGGGTGACTAATAAGAGATCATCATGTAATAGGCTTGATGCGTCGTGCAGTCCTTGGTTCCTCAGCCTTTGTCACCAACGCATATCAGTCAAGCTTTATGACTAGTGCACAATTTGGCATGTATGTTACCTCCCAGAGTGACAATGGTTTCGATCAAAGTGGAGGTGTCCCTGCAGAGGATGACGGAGATAGCGATGAGCAAGAAGCTGAAAATGATAACAATGAAACCACATCTGATATCAGCACACCCACCGATACCATTTCTCCTCCTACCAGCAGCAGCAACGTTACAGAAACACCCACCACGGGAGTGCCAGCCGATGAAACCAATGATTCGGAAGATCCTTCTTTGTTGGATGACATTGTATCGGGCGGCTTTGGATTCATCAAGAAGCGTACCAATGTTGAGGAACCAGCAGGTTATCTTGTTCTTGGTATGTGTAGTTGCAATAACATGCCACTCTTTGTTTTTGTTTATCTAATCCTCCTTTGTTTACGCATGTAGGTGGCATCGATAAGAGCGTCATTAAGGGCGATGTTCATTATATTGATTTGGCTGATAGCGAAACTGGCAGCTGGGATGTACCAATTTCCCTTGTTCGATTTGATCAGAAGCTATTGATGGAGCAAAAGAAAGGCGCTGTTGCATCCATTAGCACTTCACAGCATTGGATATCGATGCCAGCTGATCAAGCTGATATTTATCACAAAGTATTTGGTGGTAAATTCCAAGAACGCACTCAAACATACAAGGTGAAATGTAGCAAGATTCACAAGATGCCTCGTCTGAAGTTGTATCTTGGTGACTATGCAGTCGAGATTCCAGCCCAATATTGGACACGTGTGATTGATGCTAAGAGAGACTGCTGTGCAACTCGCATTGCTCGTGGTCAATCGGATCGAGATTGGATCCTTGGCACAGCATTTACTAATCTTTTCTATACCACGTTTGACCCTGTTGAAAACAAGATTGGCTTAGCACTTAAGAAAGGACAAAAAGATGATGGCTTGAGAGTTGTCAAGAAAGTACATTAGATCAGTAGTAGCACTGAGTTAGTTCGTTCTCCTCCTTTTGTATCACCAACACGTCTCTTTCACATTTTTTGTCACCCGCCCGCTCTTCTCTCTTTTCCTTCCACATTATTCAACATGGCAGCCAAGATGGACACCAATCCTCGGGGTATCCCCAAATCTCCCTTTGTTGTATGTTTTATCTCCTTTTATTCAGTAAAGCAGCTTGTTCATTGAAATCGAATACGCATTGTAGGAACGCGTTGAAGACTATGTATCCGATGCCGAACCTGCCGAAGTCGTCTTGCGTAAATTCCAAGAAGCCATCAGGTACTTGACACGTCCCATCGATACGACGACCCAAAGGCTCACACCATTTCATATACTCCACTCAGCAAATACAAGTTTATGGAAGTCAACCTGTTACAACGTCGCAAAGTGCTCGAAGACAAGATACCAGAGATCGAAAAGACGATTGCCATGGTCGAGTTCTTGACTGAGAAGCAACAAGGTGGTGAACCAGTGTACACGGATTATGAATTGAATGATACATTGTATTGCAAGGCCAAGGTCGAGCCATCAGGCACTGTGTATCTTTGGTTGGGCGTAAGTGATTGCTGCTGAGGGGATCCAATGTGGACTTGCGAATGATTGGATGGTAATGTGTGATTATGTGACAGGCCAATGTCATGCTTGAATATACCTTTGATGAAGCCAAGGATTTGTTGTCATCCAAATGTGAAACAGCAAAGACATCTTTGAAGAACACTATCGAGGATTTGGAGTTTTTGCGAGATCAAATTACGACCATGGAAGTTAGTAAGTATCATCAATCAATGGATGAGTAGGGTTTAGTGGATACTAAGTGGGGGTTGTTTTCTTGTAAAGACACTGCACGAGTATACAATTGGGATGTCAAGCAACGACGACAAGCACGGGAACAAGGAGCAAAATAGTCAACTATATATATCAACTTTCATGAATACACCACCCCATTTTGCACGTGATCAAAAAGGATGAACATGGATGGTTTATTGGACAATTACTGATGTTTATGGAAACAATTATTGCAATGACCTTTTTTGAAGACATTGGGGCTAAAGTCATCACATCCACACTCGTGACAATCGGGTTGAGCAGGAACATCCGCATTTATCGTCGTAGCTGCAGGGGTGACAGCTCTTGCATGAGCTTGTGGACCAAGTCGCATTGAGGATCCACTGGTTGATAATTGTGGAGATGAGGATGAAACGGGAGGAGGTGGAGGACGACGCGTGGAATTAGAGACACTTGGAGATACACGTGAAGCTGGTGGTGGTGGAGGAGTTCGACTTGCTTGAGCAGCTGCTGTAGGCTTTGTATCCAAAGGAACATACGTGCTGCTACGAGAAGGCATGGGTGGAGTGCTAACAGATGAACTCGAACGAGATGGCATAGCAGGTCTTGGTGGTGATGTATAAGCAGAAGGTTGATGATCACTAAAAGGGGAATCTTCTTGAACTTGTGGTGCTGGTGCAGGTGGTGAATAAACTTGTTGTTGTTGTTGATAATAATGGTCTTGTGCAATTTCTTCTTCATGGGGTTCTTCATGAATCACGGGACGAGCTGGTGTGGGTGGTGAACGATGGGCGGTGATTTCTTCCGTATAATTGACAGGGAAAATACCACGGCGCTTGGGTCCAATATGCTCTACTTCACCGAGCCACCATCCTTCATCCACTTCTTCCACAACAGTAATCACATCACCAGCACGGAAAGAGAGCTCCTCAAGGGATTCACCATCAAAGTCGTACATTGCTTTCCTTCGTCGTGTAGCTGATAAACGAAATAAAGGGTTAAGTCTTGCATAAAAGGGATACAAAATACGCCCACACTTTACCTGGTTGATGTTGTGATTGACGTCGAGGCATAGGAGGAGGTTGTCTTGGTTCACTGTTTGTGCTGCGAATAGATGCTGAACTAGGCACACGGCGTGGGGCATGGATACCAAGGCTATCTTGGCTACCTTGACGTACGCTAGGTCTTCGTTGTTGTGCCATAGACAATCCGCCACCTCCTTCTGATCCATAAAAGTAATCATCATTTTGGTATGAGAGCGGTGTGCTAGCAGGGCTGGCGGATACTGATCTGCCATTGGTATAAGGGCTACGTGCTGTTTGTCGTGCAAGAGTCTTGATTTGGTTGTCCCAATTGGATCTCATGTTGTTCAACAACTCGGTTGCTTGACTATGGTATGTGAATTGAGCTTCAAGCACACGACGTAATGCTTCCAAATGGGTGTCCTTTTAAAAAGTTGTCAAATAAGTGAGACACGCGTGTTTTTATACATCCTAATGTTGTCCCCCATTTACCTCATAGTCCTGCAAGTAAACCATTTTTTGAATCAAATCATATTCGGTTTCTTCATACTTGAGCTTTGATGCCTGCATCTCTTGCTCCCATTCTGGTTTCTCTTTTTTGGCCTTTTGCAATCTTCCCATTTTGGCATCATAATCCAAGCGTCGAGATTCAAGCTTCTTTCGTAGTGCCTGATATTCCTTGTATTCATGCAATCCAACTTCAAGCGTAGCCATGTAATCATCTTTGATAATGCTGGAAAGCTCATCTTGTAGCATGGCAATTCTCGATTCGATTTCACCAAGGTTACTCAATGCAGCCCCTAAGTTGCCAGGTATATTGAGAACAGAGCCTTTCTCATGATCCCATATCCCTTTTCATGCACTAGGCTCCTTACCTAAAGGCGAGTCTTCCGAGAAGGCCATGCCATGATTGCTCCACATCTCACCCCAAGCTTGAATAGGGTATACTTTGGTCTTGTTGTCCTCTGGTGATGGCTTCTTCTTGGATAGCTGACCATGAACAAGCTCAGATGCCGAGTACACCTTTTCAAAACCAGTGCGTTTACGCTCCGTGTCAGCTTCGAGTTGTTGAAAATCCTCCGTTTGTAGTGTCATTTTAGCAGCACCAAGGCGTTCGCCTGTCCACTATGAGCGTTGTGTGTTAATAAAAGGTGGTACGACGGGATGAGCAACAACACGTCTTGTCCTGCTCATCATCCAAACCCAGATCAGCGTACCTGTTTCAGTTTTCCAAAGTTCTTAATCATCTTGTCGCGTCAATGTAAAAGGAACGGTAATATGAACAAAGGAAAAGAAGGAAAGAAAAAAGGAAAGGTGGAGCGCAACAATAAAAACGACACCATCTATTTTAGGTGCCAAACGCACGCATTGGTCTGAGAAAAAAAAAGGTACACTATATTAGGCTGAAAGGCGAGACTTTGACAGTATTGGTCCCATGCGCACAAAGCATATGTTTATATATTATGATGGTACTACTAATGATAAAATGCTTTCCACATCCTATTGAAGACCCCATTAATACACTTTTCTAATGTTGTCGTATGATGTTGCCATGCTCACCTCGGGATTAAGTGGTTTAGGTGTCTCGCACCGTGTATGGGCACCAGAGATAATTTCTTGCAGCATAGAGCTCATCCATTTGCTTCATAAAATGATGTTAACTACACGTATCACTATTCCACATACAAACGCTTACTTGTCATGCTGTGTATATGGCCACATCATCAATCGAAGATACTCGACATCCAGCTGCAGCTGTTGATAATCCGATTGCTTGAGACGCATTTGTCGTACAGTCTCCAGGAACGCCTTTAGCAACATGCGTAGTACACCTGCACATACACCCACTGGAGTTGGATCAACGGATCGATAAATGTCGACTCGCTCAGCAAACAATTTATCAATGTTGCTCATCATGTTTTGAGTCATGTCATAGCCAAACTTGGGAATAATGCCGAGACCTGTTACTTCGCCTGGCGTTTCGGATGATGTGGTTGTCAAGCTGTGGGTAGATTGAGTGGGTCGGGTATAAAGGCCTTCACTGGCTGTTGATCCAAAGCGATATTCATAATCCATATCTGACATTTCAGTACCGCCACCACCACCGCCACCGCCGGCACCACCATTGCCCTCTGGTGAAGGTGTTTGCGGATAAACGGTTTCAACCAATTGCTCAATGTATCGCACTCTTTCAAATGCATCCACCCAAGCTTGCGACACATGTTCAGGCTTGCCATCCAATCGATCCCCTCGAAGATACTCGTTTTGTATCAGCAATGTCAATCGAAATCCTTCTTGCATCGTTTGCTTATTCAACAAGCTTTGACCTTTGTGTATGTACTGCTCCATCATGTTATGCGCGTCCTCCCTTGAATCATCATCATCATCATTTGCTGCTGCTGCTGTATCCTTTCTAGGGAGGTTGCTGTATACTTCAGGGATGATATGCTCGGCCAAATCATAGCATAAGCGGGAGCCAACGATCAATTTGACAGCATTGTCATTATCCAATTTGCTACCCTACAATGACCGCCCACAAATTAATCAATCAGCATGCAGGAAAAAGGGGAAAATGATCCCAATTCACGTGCTCTACTTACCGAAATAGTGTCAAGCAATGATTGCCACATTCTTTCAACGCTTTGGCGTACGTGCACCAAGAAATTCGGCTGGCTATCAGGGGTCAACGTCTCCAACATGTTGCGTAGTGATCCCAAACATTCGTTTTCGATATGTTGTATGAGCCATGATGCAGTGTCGTAGATGAAATCATTGAGTGCGTTCTTGTTTGTACTGATTCCCTCAATTGTATCCAAGCTGAAACCATCCAGTCGGGTCATCCGTGCTAATAAATTTTATCAGCACACGGCTAGCGTTGGTTTCTTCATTTGGCACTAACCTTTTAGTTGATCCACCGACGTAAACATTAAACCATCAATAAATCCTGATTCACGCTCATCCATAAGTGTCTGCATTCTCTTGTCGATAGCGGCCAGCCGCACCAATGCACTTGCGTTTTCAGATACTGAGGCTGTAAGGTTGTGTAAATGCTTGATCTGATCCAACGTTTGTTGTCCATTCATGCTAGTTGTCTACGTATCAACATGAATAAGGCGGATCATCATATCATGATACCCATTCATACCTGTAATTTTGTGTACTCAGAAGCCTTATGGAAAAATGCGTCTATGTGTGGTGTAATAGCTTGCATAAGGTCACTCTTAGCCTGATCCTTATCCTATATTTAATCCATGAGCATCCATTTGTGTAAAAGACATTGATAGATAAGAGAGAAAATCCTTACATATGGTATAGATGCTTCTTCTTCGGTCGACACAGGTTTCAGGAAGAGTGATTCAAAGTGCTTGACAGTATCCTCGAGAGGCATGAGTGCTTTTGATGTGAGCTCATCCACCGTATCCACGCCATTTGCATCACATGTATGAAGCCTTGCCACTTGCCTATATGAAAATCCCCCATCAATACAATGCCCATCACATGATCCATCCTGGGTACTTACACATCAAGATATTCCTTCCATAACTTGGGTGGATCCTCTTGTAGAAGCAAAAGAAGACGCATATCTTCTGCCATGTCATCCAATTTCCTGTCCGGTTGCTTTGCATTCTTCCAAATCTCATCCCTGATCTTATTGATGATAGCCTCGGAGTCACGTTCAATGCCTTTAAATGCTGCCAGGTGCTGATAATGATTGAGGAGTCGTTTTGCCTTTGTGTAGTACTTGACAGCTTGTGCATAATGACCATTCGCTAGACACCGCCCAAGACGATCCGGTAGCTCAAAGATAAATTGCAATCTCTTGAGGAGGTTGTGAACATTGGTAAGACGCTGAATCTTTTCTCGATTTGGACCAAGGGCATTGGTGATATTGGTGCACTGCTGGGTGATGCTGTTCATGCTATCGTTGAGCCGACTCATCTCTGATTCCATGCTCTCGACGTTGGACTTCATCTATACATGCACCCTTAGTACCCATTCATTGTCCCATATTACCTATTATCCTTATACAAACCTTACGAATCGTATCAGTGGCACTAATAAACTTGCTGTAGTTCTCATACACCAACGTTTTCATATCACCGTCAATCTCGCGAATCTCTGCAATAAGAGTGCCATTAGGGCCACTTGCTCCCTTGTCATACACCCATTCTCTTTACCTGCCACCAGCTCATTATCGCGTTTGATAAGACCACTCAACGTCTTCTCCTTGAGTAACCGAGAAAAATACTTGTTGGGCTCAAATGTGTCGCTGTCTACCCATGGAATGTCAATGGACATGGTCTTTGGTGGTCATCACGTTCTTCGTTACCAATATCCAGAGGCTGGCGATTGTCTCCTGCAGCTGATCCACTGATACCATAGTATTTGAGGAGGTTGACATTGCGTTCACGAGAGCGACCCTTACGTTCTGGAGGGCTGGTTCGAGGAGGGTCGCTCATGTTGGGTAAGTAGTAGGAAGAAGGGATATCGAAAAAGGAAAGAAGACGCACACACACAGGAATTGATCGGGATTCAAACATTAGCTGTTTTCGTCCCACTAAGGAAGAGGTGTATTATGCAAGAAAGGTACTGATACAAATGCAGCTAATGTAAGAACTAAATACGATGCTACATCACACTAGATGACGAGGATGAAGATTAATGCTGATGATGATGATGATGATGACTATATAACAGTAGAAGAAGGACGTTGACCAAGGAGAGCCAGCTCCCGATACGGTCGTCTAGGTGGAGGATAAGGTCCATGCGTTAAGAACTTTACAGCCTTGGTCACAGCAAATGACTTGTGAGGTGCTGCTTGAATATTATTACTATGGTGGTAGTGCCTTGAGGTACGATGACGACGATAACTTGATATGCTTTCCATTGACTGCCGCCGTGTTGATGTATCATGACTAGAGCAAGATTTGAGCCAAGGATGGAACATGACCAAGTCTAACGATGCTCGTCGACCAGGGTGCGGAGCAAGCATACGCCGTAAAAGATCCTTGGCATCTATATATATATATATACATGTATATAGCGGCATGCACATGTAAGTTTGGTTGGCTTTTCCATCACACACATTTTTACTAATTACCTTCTGAAAGATGACAAGGTATAGTAAAGTCGCCATGACCCATCTTGGTAAACAACTTGCGATCATTGGGAGCAACATAAGGATATTTGCCAACAAGCATACGATAGAGCCAAACGCCCATAATCCAGACTTGTGCAAGCTGTGGGTGGTAGATCCCTTGGATGGCTACTTCGGGAGGGATGAATTGCGAATTTCTACATGCAATGTAAGCTCAAAGTTTCATTTGGATTATAGTCGTCAGGTTTTCACCCCAACTTACCCATGAAGTGGCCAGTACTCGCTAGTGCCTGAAGGACATGTGATCCGTAAACCTGTTATGTTGTCATGGCAATCGTAATCAAGCTCCGTGCGTGCCGCTGCTACTGATACATGATGGCTGTTGTTGCCCATACTCCTCCGTTGATGCGATTGGTATGCACGTTGAATACGTTGAGACATTTGCAGTTGACAACGTGGCTCATCCCCTATGAGCTGATTATCACAGCGACTACTACTATCTCCATCTACAGGCTGCATAGCATGGATCCACTCATTTGGTGCTTGGTAAAGTATATCAACTTGCGATGTTGGAGAAGGGATGTTGCCATTGGTATTAATGTTGTTGGTGTTATTATCGTTCATGCAGTGTTGTTGTCCATCCCGTAATCTGCTGCATGAAGGCGTCGTGGTTGTCGTCGTAGTTATCGTCATTGTTTCTGCTTCCTCGGGTATAGTATACAGCCGCCGAGATTGACGTGGATCGTATATAGCAGTGTTGGGAAAAGATGATCGCTTTACAATAATATCATGCTGTTGAAAAGAAGACATTGTTCAGTTTTTTTTTTCTGCGAGAGATGGATGTGAGTGTGTTGACAAATAGGTGGTGTCAATGACGAGGGTGAATGGTAGGATAACAAAGGAAAATGGCTGGGTAGAAAAAGGTGATGGCTTCGAAAGCATTGCATACCTTGGTTGATGCTGGCAACGACGAGGTGGTTGTATTTGGCGATGATGATGATGATGGTGATGATGGGTCAAGAATAGGAAGTGGAGGTGACTCTGGAGATAGTTGTTGCCAATCACCCGCCTTTTTCGTAGTATCATGCTTGCCGTTGCGGTGGCGGGTCAATAACAACTTGCTGATCCGTGAAAATAAACCTTGCCGCATGTTGTGTGTGTGTGAGTATAGTGGTGAATAGGCAACAACAACAACAGAGTGACACACGCAGCACACCGATACACGCAAAACGACAAAAACGTATTGCAGGAAAGAAAAGAGGGAAAAAGAAAATAAGTTTGAATAATCAGAAACCCGGTTTTGATTGCATACAAGAGCTGCATTTTATGCGACGTCGAGCCACGCGAGTTAAGTTTACTAATGGGGAAAGCGAGCAGCTTCGATCAAACTGGATCAGCTTTTCCCCTTCATCCCGGCTTATCTCCTTGCCACTTTGTATTGACTCAATTAATGTGGATCACTACTACAGCCTTTATGTCATGCATCACCTGTTTTCATTGCTGTCAATACATACATCGTTATCTTCATTATGGTACCAAGATGAGTAATGCGATGTCGACGCAAAAACAAGGAACCAAGAAGGATAACACAAAAAAAGCAAGGTCATATGTGCTGAATTGTTTACAATGTTCCATTTGTTTATTGAGTGGTGGCAACTATTGAAGCAATAATTCTACTCCTTCGTTGTTCATTGTCTTTGGGATTCATTCCCCTTTTCCCCTTTTCAAAGTGACGACCAACAGGGATGCTAACAGCTCAAAGCTTGTCTCCTTGGTAATTTCTTGTCAGACTTGGAAACCCGGTATAGGTAAGAATGTTCGACTGCCCACAGACTTAAGCGGTTGCCACTGACGACGCCCACAAATTGACTTTATAAACAAACACACAAATAGTTGCACCTTTTCCGTGTTTGGATATTACAGTAAACGATCACAGCGAGCTGGTGGACATGGCAACCAATCCTAAAACGTTGCAACCCTCTTTGTGGATAACCCACAATTTGAATGCCTTATGTGTTGCCAGCCGATAAAATGTACACGACCATGCTTATGATGGTGACGTTTCGGCAGCTTCAATGCTGAGTTACATTGGTAATCACATGCATGTACGTTGCATATGCCGTTGTATCATCTATCATTGCCCGCTGAGCAAGTGGTTGATTATTAGCGTTCATAAACGGCACATGATAAATGGCACCATATTCGTTGATCCTGTAAACAACATCCCTTCTTAATCAGTAATTGCTGCCATATCAAGCTCCGCATATCTGTCAATGGAGAAAGCAATGGACCTAGTGTAAGAATGTGATATGCAATAATAATAGCAGCGTATGATTTCACCCTTGTCGTCTTCTCCTTAGTGGATCGGGGGTGGCCGATCGAGCATATGCAAGACAATTGACATACTCCCACACACACACACATACCAACCGCCTTTTAAAGCTGTTCCCCAGAGAAAGCAACGTTATAATTATAGTCCTGCTCGGGTGTGCTATTTTGAGATTCCTCTTTTTGCTACACAACAAGCTCGTGCATAATGTGATGTTCCTATACCGACAGCTTCAAGGCATGTCATGATTGTGCTATATATAACAGGGTTGGAAAAAGATGCTAGTTGTTCTCGTTCCCGCATGGAACTTTCCTTTGGGTGATTGCCGTGTCTTATGGTTGCGTGCGTTACAAGTCGCGTTAGGTATGTGATTTAGCAGCGTAGCTATTGCTGCATACGATCTTTTCTTTACTAGGGATAGGTTTTCGTAGATCACACTTGGCATACAAAAGGAGGGAGAAAGGAGATAAAGATTATCAGGTGTAAGCCACGCTGAACACCTTCACTTGTGATTCAATTGACATCATCCTTCCTTTAAATCTTTTAATGAGCATGAGCTTTAAGCAATCAAGCAACAAGGATACAAGTTTTATTATGCGTCAGGGATCACACAACCTACTATCGAATAACTCATCACTCTAAATCTCTAGTTTTTCACCACTTGCATTGATTGGGACTTTGTATGTGCGTCAATAGATGAACAAATCTATGCATTTATTGGGTGCTGCTAGGTAAAACGATTGATCTTTCTTTATAGATATGTGATGTTGTCATGCCAACTGAACCACTACTATTATACCACACCGATGATGCGAGAATGTGATAATGAGGTGTTGCCATGGTGATGTGTGAATGCGTTATGGAGGAATGAGTATGGCATGTGCAACCTGTCATTGTGGCAGTGGTGATAGACGTACGTGATACAGAGCAAGAGATTGGATGAACAGGGCTGTGTGGCCACACATCGGACTACGTGGTTGCCTGGCGGATGAACAAAATGCCTCAAATGACAACTGCGTGCAAGATCTTGGTCTTTTGCATTTTGTAACCATGAGAACCACCCTTTTCGTTGCAGGCTTTAGTAGCAGAACACGAGCACGCGATCTCGCGTATGAATTTGAAAGGTAAAGCAGAATGGGGCGAACCTGATCTGAATGGATGTGATAATGGTGTGCTGTGGTATCATAGATACGGTCGTCTGGTGCGTTGTGATATTCCTGCTCCTAAAAGCTACTCGTCAAAACCGTAAGTGCAACACGCTTTTGGTGCAAAAGAACAAGCAGATTATGTACAAGGACTCCATGGGAAGCTAATCAGGGAATACAACGAACGTGTAGCTATGCATTTGTAGAATTCGAAGACACTCGCGATGCCGAAGACGCTTTTCACGAGATGCACGGTCGACGCGTTGATGGATATACGATCAGTGTACAGGTAATGTATTTCACTTTATGGTTAATGGGGATATGCTTCTGATAATGGCATGTGTATAGTGGGCTAAGAATGCACCCAGACAATCATGGCGTTTTGAACGACGTTCTCCAAGTCCTCATCGACGATCCTCTCGTGGCAGAAGCCGCAGCCGTTCACCACGTAGTCCTCTTCGCCGTGGACGTTCTTTTTCGCCTCGTAGATCACCACCACTTCCACCACCACGTTATGGATCTCGATCACGTTCTCCTCCTCCTCCAAGACGCGATAGCCCACTTCCACCACCACCGCCACCGCATGCTGCAGAGGATCATCGTGAACCATCGAGGTCTCCTCCTCCCCCTCCCAGAGCACTTTAACAATTGAAATCCTCATCATAGGTCATAGTTGTTTTTTCTCTTGCTCTCTTTCTCTCTTGCTCTCATATCAATAAACCAGTATTCTTATATCTGAGAAGATTACACGATAACACATCTGAAACATTATGCAGCTTGATCCTTCTCTTTATAAGCATATACCAACACAACATCCACGAGTCGACTTTTTTTTATCTTGTATCATCGTTTGGTAGTACGCGTTTATTGGGAAGAGCAAAGTAATGGAATTTATCAGCATAATCTGTATGTGCCTGAATATAGAATCCTCCCAAGGACGAGCTTGCATCCACCATGGTTACGGTCTTGTCTAATTCGATATCCGGTATACCAATCTCTCCTATTGCTTGTTCACCTTTGAGAAGTGCTCGAAGCAGGATGCCAAGTGTAAGATCCTTGTGGGAATAATAAATGACCGTCTTTCGTCGTCCTAGACCACCCGTATTCGGTTGAATGTAAGGGAGAATGTCACGCTGTACCAATGCAGGAGCACACAAATGAATAGCATCAGGCCTACCACGTATCATATTGTTGTGAGATTCCCTTTGTATCCAAACAAGCTAATACCACCTCACCTTTCATTATGACTCATCAATGAACATGCTTCCACAATATGTCTGCATCCTAGTGAATGGCCCACAACGCGTAGGGTATCGTACTTGCGTCGTAAATCAAGTAATCGCCATGCCAACATTTCTGCACGTTCATGGCTTTCACGTGTCGCTGTTGAGAATTGATAGGCTAGACGAGCTGCATGGAGACCCACATCCATGGCAACGGCACCCACAATGGATGCTGGAGTAGGCAACCTGAGATGGCTAAGACGTTTCCAATTTTGACTGATGAGATAGGCAGTGGATCCAAGTGTTGCAAATGGTATTGGGATTTGTGAAAGAGGCGAACCAGATGGCCATGAATATCTGCAGGATCGTATTTGAATGATGATAGTGATGATGATGCATGTTTGGTTGTGTCAGAGACAAAGCCGATTGATCCACCTATATCCTTCACCCGTGGTATTCACCCTAAAGCTGCAGGACCCCAATTATGCTGTCGACTTAGCACAAGGAGCCGATGCGAGTGCAACCAATCTTCAAATCGTTCTGGTGATTCACCTTGTGCAAGGAAGCCTAACGCCAATCGATAACAGGGAGTCAGCGTTGGGAAAGACACGGTATGTTGAATCCTTCCTACCTTTGACATAGACCGTAACTTCAGACCTTTTATCTTCTGGACGTGATAGCACCTTGAGTTTGGGAAGCTCTGTAAAGAATTTGCGTGGGGCTGCCATGGACGACATGCGAAGAACAACAAGAGGCGAGGATCGGATAATTCAAATTGCCGATGACTTCATGAATGTAATCCCGTTGACTAAGTCAAATCCCTCGGCTGGACGATACTCCTCCACCCACGTGATTGTTTGCATCTATAAAAGCATTGAATGTGGGGTAGATCATTGATCGTTATCCAACAATGACACGTCTTGAACCCGTCTTATCAACTTCCATCCCCGTACATCCTGCTACCCAAGGTTCAGATGTCCAACGACTTGCCGTTGAAAAACACACATATCCTGCTCCTATGCAGCCCGTAGAGCGATCGCTGGCATTCGTGTGGTCCCATGCCAATGGATTCTGCAAGGAAATGATGCACCCATTGATGCGTCGCTTTGCCACTCAATTGCGTTCACTGCCTGCTTATCAACATACCTCGTTCGACTTTTATGCTTGGGATGCCCGTAACCAAGGCGACTCGGCTCGGCTCAATGCTGATCATATCCATGTACCCACATGTAAGTGGCATGCATCTTATCTAGATCATTTGCTTCTCAGCTAACACAGCAACAACATAGATGGATGGCTCGACAATGCCATGGATACAGTACAGGTCATCAACGAGATGGGTCTCAAGAAGAATTACGATAAAGTCATTGGCGTTGGACATAGCTTTGGTGGCTCTGCCATGTGAGTATTATCACTGACAACAACATGAAGAAGCCCTTTTCATTGACAACAACACCATAGGATCATTGCTGAATTCTTTTTCCCGCATATTTTTGATGGTCTTTGTATTCTGGAAGCAGTCATTGCTAAGCAATTTGTTCCTTACAAGATTCGATCCAACTTCCCAGCTATCAAGACCACTCTAAAGAGACGTGACACATGGCCCAGTCGGTAAGATAAAGAGACAATGAAACGTGAATCCAATTATTAATTTGAATGCTTCAAAGTGAGGAGTGCTTCAAATCACTATCAGGACGACCCTTTTGGCGTGATTTGCATCCGGAGGTGCTTCAAAACTTTGTCGTAAGTAAATAGGATCCATATGTCATCTGATGATCCCTGTCTTGGCATACTAAAACGTCGTTCCATCCATGAAGCAATATGCACTCTATGACACTGAAGAGGGTACTGTCAAGCTGAAATGTCCCAAGGAAGAAGAACACGTATGTTGTACAAATGTTAAAATTGGGATAATGAAAAATTGACACCTTGGCTTCCTTAGCTTGTATACCTTGCTGGTGCTTATGGATCACCTGTTGCATTCAACTCGCTTAAATCGGTGACTGTGCCTGTGCATATGGTTCATGGTGATAAATCCACCTTGTAAGTATTGCAAGCACTCCCATAATCTTGTTTCTAATACTGATTTCTTTGATTAGCACGGATGCTTCAACAGCTGGGGACATCAAGGCACTTTCTCATCATGTTAGCAGTGCAGTGTTGGATGGCTCACATATGATACCAGTGGAGAAACCAGATGCTTTGGGTAAGAAAGATGTTTATTTTATTGTATGAATGGATGTACTAATACTTGTAATGAATTGTAGTGCCTGAGATTGTATACTTGACTGAGCGTGTTGTTATGGGTGACCGTGCAAAGTTGTAAAGTATAGAGATGACTCCTTTTGCAAATACAGATACCTATCTTGGCGTGTGACACGATGCATGATTGGATAGCGATAATCATATTAAGCAATGAAGGTTGCACAACGGGAGAGGAGCAGGCATAATCTGCGTGTGTGGCGAGACATAGATCGGAAGGGAAAAGATAGCCGTACCATGCCGCTGCTGCTGCTGCTACAATTTCGTTCTGCAGTTTCCCGTTTGTTTCCCTTTTCTTACTTCTTACGATACCCCAACCCCCTCCCCCACTTTTAACCTTTTACTTCACAACACCTCTCTCATACGTATATCCATCCGCATAACAAAGCGCAATAAATACCGATGCTTTTACGCCATGTTTGTCTTCAACAAAGAACCCTCGTCTTGGCAAGCTGTCGTCGTCGTGCCGTTGGCAGTGGTGGTACCACTTTCAATACTTGGCGTCGTACTATTGGCATTCTTTCCCATCAGCACCAAGATCGGTCGCATCTCAACGTCATCAACTTCTTCGATCCAGCATTGGCGCCTGCACCACCTTATTACACTCTGAACCATGGCGCAAGTGGGTTTGCAAAGAGCGACAAGGCACCTACATCCACTCCTGAAGAAGATGCTCTTTATACCAGTGTTCAAGTGGGTGATGATGCTTACTTTTTACGACGAGACGCATTGGGTGTTGCTGATGGCGTGGGAGGTTGGAGGAAGCATGCTGGCAAGTATCCATCATTGTTGGGATGATGATGATGATGATGATGATTTGGGGAATAACACGTTGTCCATTTAGGTGCCAATCCAGCTCTTTATGCACGCAAGTTGATGCATTACGCTCAATTGGAATTGGATCGCATCTACAGCAACAAACGTCCTCTTCATGTGCAGCAACAAGAGAAGATGGATCCTGTGCTTGTCCTCGAGAATGCTTATCACCTGACATCACTGGATGCTCAAAATGAGGTAGGAAAGGAGACAAAGGGGCAATGAGGGGTGGGGATGGAAGTGGGGGAAGAAATTTACCCCGTGTGAACGGAACAATCAAGACACTAAAATATATCCATGCATATATATATAGAATATTGTGGGATCAACGACAGCTTGTATTGCTATGCTTTGTCAAGATGAACTTCGTGTAGCCAACTTGGGTGATTGTGGCGTATCCATCATTCGCAAAGATGATTACCTTTTTCGATCCGAAGAACAGCAACATTCTTTCAACTTCCCCTACCAGCTTGGTACAGCATCATTTGATTATCCTTCAGACGCACAGCAATTTTCAGTCAAGATCGAAGAAGGAGACGTATTGATTGTGGCATCCGATGGTTTATATGACAACCTATTCGACGACGAAATTCTTGAAGAAGTACAAGCTTGTATACGTGATTGTGAACAAGGGCAATCCATCCCACAATTGATATCCGAATCCCTTTCTCAACGTGCCAAAATCGTCAGCGAAGATATCAATAACCCGGCATCACCTTTTCAGAGCAGAGCAATGCATGAGGGCATGTACTATCAGGTAAGGATGGATACCAATTGGAAAGTGTCAAAGCCACGTGGGTGTTTACTAAAGCGTATTGTCTATGCGTATGACAGGGTGGCAAGGCGGATGATATTACTGTGTTGGTTGCCATGATAAAGCGCGAAGAGAGCCCACCGATCCAATCACCACCACCATTACCTTGATCGATCCATACAACTACAGTAGCCAAGCATTCCCTTCATTTGTATATATCCATATCTGTATAGTCATTTTCTTACACACATGCACACTCACTCACTCACACACCACATTCGCATTCATTTGGTTTCAAGCAAAACGTTTTATATAGAATAATCGACGTTATTAGTTACAGACATCCTTTTGTGAGATGCTATGTTGTGGGGAGTGGTTGTATATACTTCGTGAAAGGTAGAGGGAAAAAAGGCGAGAGTATTGTACAATGGATTATATATAATGGAACAAGTGATTATATGGCTTATCGTCCTTCCTTGTTATCGTCCTTGTGGCTGCCAGATGGGCTGATCATATCAAAGCTCTTGGTGGAACTAGATCCTTTGTGAACCATGATCTCGACTTGCTCATCCACTTGCTGTTGATCATGTTCGGGAATGTCTTTTGGCTCGTATTCAGTGGTTGTGGGAAGGACTGTATTAGGCTGTTGTTCCTGCAACGCTCTTCTTCGTCGTTCCTCCTCTTCCATTTTCCACTGTTGGCCTCGGAATGATCCCTCTGTACGAGCCATGACACAGCAAGCTAAGCAGTTTCCAGTGACATTGATTGAGGTTCTACCCATATCCATGATAGCATCAACACCCATAATAACGGTGACAGCTGAAATTGGAAGACCATACTATGAGGACATTATTAGGATTGGGGTCACACACACACACACACACACACACACACACATAATGAATACAATCATACCTGGGATACGGTGCCTGCCAAAACAATGAGTGATGCTCGGGGTACAGCAGCCACACCTTTTGATGACAACATCAATGTACCAAGAATGGAAAGTTGTGTGCCAATGGGTAGGCTCATTCCACCTGCTTGGGCACAAAAGATGCTAGCAAGTGCAAGATGGAGCGTGGTACCATCAAGGTTGAACGAATAGCCCCTGTTGTATAAAAGAATACAAAGAAATGGCGTTTAGCTCACTCTGTATCACATAAACATATGCATACGTCGATATTAAGAAACGTACGTGGGAATAACAAAGGATACGAGTGAATTGGGACATCCAAACTCACGCATCCTTTCCATGGCCTTGGGAAGAGCCGATTCACTGGAAGAGGTACTGAAAGCAATCAACCATGGTTGAGCTACCGCACGCAGAAAACCAAAGATAGGAATGCGACAAATCAACATGACCGGCAACAAGATGAAGACCACGAAAATGACGAGTGAGGCATACAAAGCACCAATCAACTTTCCCAAGTTGCCAAGGACACCAATACCGTTAGCACCAACGGTGGCTGCCAAAGAAGCCCCAATACCAATAGGAGCATCTATTCAAAATGGTGAGTGTTTTGCATCATCGTTGTTGTGCTCCACTTACAGTTCATAATGAGACCAACCATTTTAAAGATCACCTATAGAAGGTTTGGATCAGCCATATGCATAAAAAATTATCCCTTACGTCTTCTCAGAGCCTACCTGTGAGAGCGATTCACAAATCATGAGCATGACATCGCGCGATTTCTTGTCGGCTTTGATGGCAGCACATGCAAACATGGCAGCACAAAATACGATACCAAGAATTTGATCTTCTGATGCAGCAACGAAAAAGTTCTCAGGGATAATCATAAACATTTCACCGTACCAGGTGATCTCCCCACTCTTGCCCGCAAGGTCTGATGCATCCGAGTTATCGGTGTCTCCTGGCAACACCACCCCGACACCAGGTTTTACCAAATTGGCCATAATCAACCCGACTGCAAGTGCAAAGGTCGTCACGACTTCAAAATACTATGCACGAGATTAGCAATGTATCTTCCATTTTGCAGATAAAAAATACATACAACAATGGTCTTGATGGCAAGTTTGCCAACAGTGGAAATATCATCCGAATGGCCTGTATAGTGATGATGCATGTAAGGAAAGGACTTTTATAGATAATTATGCCGTTTTCCACTTACCAGCAATACCAAGCACAAGAGTGGAGAAAATCAATGGAGCGACGATGATCTTGATCATGCGAATAAAAGCTGTACCAAGAGGCTCGATCTCTTGAGAGAATTCAGGTTCAAAGTACCCCACCTAAATATGCGATGAAGCATAATAGTCAGTACCGCAATGCCGAAGATGGATGTTTTTCTCTTACCAAAATGCCAACAATGATGCCAGTAAAGATCCAAAAGGTGAGGTTGGTCCATCGCTCCAAAAATCGCCATGCTTTGCGAAAGGGGCCCCACAAGCATTTGTCCCAGACAAACATAACTGCGTTGCCGCCCTTTCTAGCCCATGGTGGATAGCTCCCCTTTTCCTCGATTTGCACCTCAACATTGATTGTTTTGGAAGGTTTTCTAACCGATTGGAACTTGGAGATGACCGTTTCCCTTATCTTGTCCATGTACGTGTATTAAGGTGTGTGGTTAATGGGTTGATGAAGTAAAGGAAAATGTGGAGCAAGAGATAAAAGAATACCTGATCCACCCGATAAAGTTGTATTTATATCAAAGTACGGGTGTAGCTATCTGCCTTCTGAGATATATATGGGAAATGATAGGCTGAGCAATGAATAAGGCTGCAGAGCAACCCACAGGGCCTCTGCTGCCCTTTGTGTAAAGTGATCTCACACACAACGAGGAAATTGTGTAACAGCGATCCGATTTGCGCACACCTTACTGGTATCTTTTTTCTCATTTTGATTCTGCTGTGTGACAAGTACCTGCCTTTTATTTCTGCATGATGTTTTATGATGATGGGAGAACGTCCCTTTCTGGGCTTTATTTCATCATTCGATTTCTGAAACAATAGGGCCATGCTCTTCAATCAAAGGTATCAGATGAGCATAGCTAAGACGGTAGTGGTAGTAATATTGAGAAGGGACGTGCGTGATCCTGTGCCACGACAATCACCGTTGGTTGTTGGATTACCTGAATCTCACAGGATCCTTAAGGCTGTACAATGCCACATCATTTGTCAGCGTATGTGTTTGTGTGTCTCCATGATGATGCCTCAATGTACCCTGTCCTACCCTTTCTCTCTATCTCTTTTTTTTTTCCCATGCCATGAGAGCAGATCAAAGAACGACACGAATTTTCTGATCTGGTATCGGTGAGCGTCTCCACAAAACACGATTCCTCCTCCGCTCATTGTGACACGAAATCAGAGCGTATCTCTTTTCGTGTTCCTTGGTTTCCGCAAAAGAACAAAAGCAAGTGCTGTCACCAAACTCCCACTTGAGTGTGAGAAAAAAAAGCCTTTCTTGTACCTTGTTGTACTGGACCACCCGAAGGATTGCACTCAAGTTGATATCATGAGAACAATGGCATCAACGTGGTGGTCATCTTTGTAAAGAAAAAATGTTACAATGGGCATGTAACAATGCTTATCAACGAAGATAACGGCCCAACACGTTATCATCCAGCAAAATAGATCCGTTAACAGGTGCTATACCTGAGCCCTTGTACCATTGTCCCAACCTCCTCTTATTTTCCAGCCACCTATCACCCAATGATCTGTACTCTTCTCATTAAATTTTCCCGCGGTGGAAAGGGTTCTGTGCATGCCCGGGGATACCGATTTCCCTGTTGGATTAGTAGCACATGGAGAAATCGTCTTTGTCTGTTGTACATTGTTCCCTGGTATATCTTGTGATGTTTGCGCCATGTATGCGCATGTTGCTTAAAAGTGCATCAATCATGTAGCTCATTCATTAAAGATCACTCGCTGGTTTGTGTGTGTGTGCATGTAGGCAAAATGCGCTTCTATCATCTGCAGCAAAATTCAAGTTTCTTTAATGATCTTTTACACGGTGGAGAGGAAAGGGATGATCACAGAGGTGGTGTAACAAGCGACAAATAGGGTAATTCAAGTAAGCGTCCAAACCATGTGATCCAATCAGGCTTCTTTGGGTGAATGTAAAACGGATGTTTCTGTTTTCTCAATACGTATACAAGGATGGGCTAAGTTCTTGACCAATTTTCCATGATAGCCATATGTCTGGTCCATGTGAATAATCGTATGTATTTGCAGCCTCCTACAATGATCCAATTTCTTGTTATTCCTGGGTACAGGATGAAGCGAGCGGTTGTATGAAAAAGATATTCAGGTGGTCGCTTACATAATACGTTTAGCGTAAAACCCATCATCGTTGTTATGTGCCTTCCAACAATCTCCATGGTGATGGTTGCTATGAACAAGAGTATCTTGATGAATGGATGGCATCTCGCCCTGTCAAATAATCAATGCCGGTGATTGGATATGGGCGGTAGCAAAAACACAGCGTGCTTGTCTCGGTTCTTGTCCCTGCACACACACACACACATACACACACCATGTTTGGACGTTAGTATACGATCGCACTTGTTGTTCCTCACAATCGGTTTCCATTCACCACTCTACCGTTAGGGTTGAAGCCATGCAGCACGTGTCTCTCTGTACATGCTCTTGCCATTGTAAGTAGCGGTGGATCTGTTATCAACATTTCGAGTATCAATACATAAACGATAGAGCCATGCACGACGTTCACCGTTCCTCCATGTTCGGACTGTAACGGCAACTATGGTATGCTCACGGTGGAAGGGTATGGGATAGAGGCTCGAATTAGTGACACTTTATTGTACATAGCCAAGGCGACAGTTGACGACATCTTCATCAGGCGGGCTGACACTCAAAACACCCAAAGGCACCAAGGATTACACCGACAGAGACATGGCTATTCGAGATCAAGTGTTCTCTACTATCACCCAAGTATTCAAAAAGCATGGTGCTGTGACGATTGATACGCCCGTGTTCGAATTGACTGAGATCCTTGCCGGCAAATATGGTGAAGACAGCAAATTGATTTACGACCTTGCCGACCAGGGTGGAGAGCAATGTTCATTAAGATACGACCTCACCGTTCCATTCGCACGTTTCATTGCCATGCACGGGAAGGAATATCAAAACATCAAGCGATATCATATTGCCAAGGTGTATCGACGTGATCAACCAGCCATGACCAAAGGACGTTTACGAGAGTTCTATCAATGTGATTTCGATATTGCTGGCACCTACGATCCCATGATTCCAGACGCTGAGATCTTACGTATCTTGTGTGAAGCATTGACGGCGTTGGATATTGGACCTTACACTATCAAGATCAATCATCGTAAGATCCTGGATGGTATCTTTCAAGCATGTCATGTGCCAGAAGAAAGCATCCGATCCATTTCTGCTGCTGTCGACAAGTTGGACAAATTGCCGTGGGAACAAGTCAAGCAAGAAATGATTGAGGAACGTGGTTTGGATCCCACGGTGGCTGACAGGATAGGCGATTATGTCAAGTTGCAAGGGGGTCAAGAGCTGCTGGACACGCTCTCACGAGATACCAAGTTGACACAAAATGCAATGGCTGCTCAAGGCTTGGCTGATATGAAATTGTTGTTTGAGTTCCTTGAGGTGTTGGATATTCAAGACAAGATGCGTCTAGATCTTAGTCTGGCTCGTGGTTTGGATTACTACACTGGTGTCATTTACGAAGCAATTGCTCCTCAAAGCACTGTGGGTGGCGTGGGCTCTGTTGCTGCTGGTGGACGCTATGATGAATTAGTGGGCATGCTTGTGGGTCGCAACAAAAAAGGAAAACCAAGCTTACAAGTTCCTTGTGTGGGTGTCTCGCTTGGTGTTGAACGCATCTTTTCTATTCTCGCAGCCAAATACCAACATCAGCCTATCAAGTCCAAAGATACGGAAGTACTCGTTATGGCCGTTGGTGGTGGATTGATCAAGGAACAAATGCGCTTGGCAAAAGAGCTTTGGGATCATGGTATCAAGGCATCCTTCATGTATAAGAACAAGCCAAAGCTTGACAAACAATGGTCACTTTGCGAAAAGGATCAGATCCCTTTTGCCGTCATTATTGGTCAAGATGAGCTCGATAGCAATCAAGTGCGACTCAAGGATATGCGTGTAAAGGATAAATCACAAGGTGGTGGCATCTTCATAGAGCGTAGCAATTTGATAGATGAGCTGAAGGATCGATTAAAAATAAACTCATAATGTCCAACAAAACGCAAATGATTCCCTTTAATGTAAATGAAGCTAGTATATGTTATGAAACAGGATATGTACAATAGAATGGTCTTGGGCTTGCTCCGTGTATTATCGAGTTTATCTCTTGAGTGATGGGCCACTATGTACAGTGTCAATGACAATAGCCTATAATCAATCCTACTCGTTGACTTACGCCTGATTAACAATCACTCTACGTTTGGTTCGTGGTAAATCAATCTCGCCATCATCGGTTTCACTGGATGAGCCTGTGCTTATAGCAGAAGCTTGTGATGGCACATTGGCTTGGGAGACAAAAACCTTGTTAGAAAAACTACTACAGTGCATGATGCTCCAAACCACTTACCATCTTCTTCCGTAATCTGCGATGGGGTATCAACCTTGCGTTTTCTACCTCTATATGGAAGCATCAGTGAAGGAGATTAAGACTCTTCCTATCATATATCCCATACCTAACGGCTTCCTTTTTCGGCGGCGTTGATTCCTTTGTTTCCACACCTGCCTCTTTGTTCTCTTGGGTATCACTTTTGGCCTGTGCAGCGTCATGTTCCTCTGTGGATGGTTGTATTAACAAATTTGGTAGTATCATAATAACAATACTCCATGTACTTACTATTTAGCCTATCATTTTCCATAGTCAAGTAGCGAATACGGCGTTTCTTGCTGTTGAGAATATCCTTAAACTAATAAAACATGATCAGCTCAATGAAAACATCAGCAGCAATACGCTATAAGCCAAACCTTATGAAACATGGAGAAATCGGCATCCAGCTTATCCCTTTCCAGAGCCTCAATTTGATTCTTCAAGGATTCTTTAAGAGCGACGAGGTCATTGTTGCGAGCCAGCAGTGCTTCCTGGGTTTTCTATAAATAAAACAGGATGTTAGATATAAGAAGACAATGAATAGAAGATATCATTATACCATGTGCTGTGCGTTTTGCTGTACTGAGTTCTCCATCCAGGCATGCAATACCTTTTCTTTGTCTTTTTCTGGCACAACGGGGATCTCCACGTGACCCAATTCATACTATACAACATTCTACGTTAATATCCATATGTACATCCCCCATTGATATCCTTACCGGTAGTTTCCCACCCATGTAGCTAAGAAGAGCAAGCTATTTCATGCGAGTAATGTATCAGAGTTTCGTTGATTAAATGGATTTGCATAACGATACCTTGCATTTGTGTTTGTCTGTGGTCACTTTCCATCGAAGTGGTTGTCCATTGTATTCGCTCTTTCCTTGAAGGCCTGCAGTCACTACTTTGTTGATCTCGTCGATAGTGATCCCTTGCCGTACAAAGTTCTCCAGGTCTTGGCGGGTCACTGGTGGTGGATATGGGTTAGTTTATGCGTGGTAACTATGCTTTGTTACACGTCTTACCAGTTCCAGTCCAATAGCTTGAGCGATCGGTGACTGTAATCTCGCAAATGGTATCGTTTGTCTCTTGAGAGAGGTCGACATTATGGAGCCAATGGCAGTCAATATAGACTTGGACGTTCTTGTAGTCGTTTTTGTAGAAATAGTGTACCATAAAGAGCAATAAAAGGAAGGAAAAGAGTCCTTGTTTTCACGCCCAGCTCTTCCCTACTTTTTGATCTCCCAAACGACGCGCCCAATTGAAGCAAACGTATACAACATTCCTGACAGCGTAATGAACATGTCGGATGGCTTTGGAATACACGTTTCCCCCACGCCATCACCAGTCAAAGGCATTGGAGAAGATAACGCATCAGTCGATTCGCAACGGCAACAGCAGCAACGGCAACAGCAGCAGCAAGAAGCCAACTTGTGGGGAAACTTGACGTGCGCCATAAAGAACACTGCACAATACGCCAGCCATGAATTTGATCGATTCATCGATGCTATTGGGTTTAAGCAATCTGACACTGAGACCAGCAACTCTACTCGTCAAATACAGCTCGATAAGGTATGTATTATCATACTGAAAATGACAAGATTTTGATGAATGAATGTTCGTAGACAAAGAAACCAACACCAGCAATGGAGCCAAGACGAGCACCATCAACAATGAGCACTTTGGATAAATATGAATCAGCAGCATCGTCTTTGATACAAAGCAGGACCTCTTCCGAGATCTCTTCAAGAGCACCACCAGCTGAGAATACTCGATCCATGCCCAAAACTCGTTCTGCTACTCCAATGGATTCCACCAAACGGCAACGGCTTTTGGACCTGAAATCTCAACTTGATTACTTGTTGAGTCATGAGGATATCGAACCCAGTAGCGATCATCATGTCCGATATACCAATGGATCTCGACATAGGAACCACCATAGCAACACTATCACAACAATCCCCAATGCTACCACCATCACCAGCACTACCCAGATCCCTAGTCACAATGATGAGAATGAGCGAATGGATCGTTTGGAAAGATCCATCGAACGTATTCAAGCACAGGTATGATGGTGATGATGATGATAAATGAAGACAACTTCATGATGACGATTTATTGATGCGATATTACATAGATGCATGAAATGATATCAGCACACCATATCCAACCTCGTCCTCCACCTAATACTTATCGACTTAATAACTCATCTTTCACACAACCCAAATTGACGACTCGGCAATGGTCCCATGATTTACAACACGTACCATCTATCACACCATCCACAGCAAAGCCAACAATAGAATCCTTGCCTTCTCCCACAAGTGATGTCAATTCGCCTATTCCTCACACACAAGCGACCTCCCCCAACTTCAACGAGCAGCCATCATCCACCAAAGTCAACGCATGGGCCACTTCGCCAAAGCCTATCGCTCGTGCTACCTCGCCAAAGCCTATTCCACGTGCTGTCTCACCCAAAGTCCACAAACCTTATGCATCACCTATTCCACCACACAATATCAATGGTGCCGTCAAGGTTCTTCCCTCTTCCACCTTTGTAAAGAGCGCATATCGTAAGCAAAGTGTAAGTGTGCTTGTATACATGGATCGAATGTCACAAACCTGACAACGCTTTCTAGACAATACCCGATGAGAAGCATATCAACACAATGCAAAAGGTGGTGGAACAAATCCCTAATTACAAGTTACGTCGTGTCGATATGATTCCTTCAGCTGATGGCTCATTGAAACCAAACCCATTTTGGATCGAAATTTATCAACCAAAGCGGCGATATCGGTCTAAACGTCCCTTGGAGACCACAGGTAAATAAGGAAGCAGGGTACAATGAATGGAATGAATCATACTCATGGACTTTTTTCTTTCAAGAACCCACAACCAGCAACGAAGACTCATCATCATCTAAGCGTTTCCGATCCTCCGTTCAATGAACCTTGTATATATATATAGGATTTTGTTTCTCACTCAGTACTCTTTTTCATCACATGTGCTATATTTGACAGTAAAGTATGGATACTCCTCTTATGTATGTGCTGAATGTTGTACACAGTTCGACATCTTACATGGTAATCAACGTTTTCGGTTGTCTTCGGCCAAAGACGACCATGCATACATTGGGCTATTGTGGTTACATTGAGGGATGTGACGTTATGAGTGTTTGCCTAACAACATGCGGCGTATGAGCATCATTGGGTAGCCTGTTTTAGGGAGGCAATAAAAACAACCATGCAAACACCTTGGCTATCTTCAGTGAAAGAGCATGCATTTGGTTTTGTTGGAAACCAATGTAGCTACAACCGGTCAATTGCCATCAAGTCGTTTCCAGCATAACACTACCATCGATTGGGCATAGGCATAAGATGAAGAAAACAAACAATGAATTGTCTATTGGATGTTTGCATACTACGCATAAAGGAAATTACACGCTAGATTTGGCAGCTGTAGCTGCATCAATCTTTCGAGCTTCATCGAAAAAGTATTGAAGACGATCCTCTGCCATAAAGTCTTTTTCAAAATCTTTGGCAGAATTGGCGCTGGGATAAGGCACAGATGGCACCGGCACATTCAAAAATTTGCATAGTCGATCCCATCCTTCACCAAGTTCCATGATAAAAAGTCGCTCGCTAGGGACGTTCTTCTTAACCCATTCGACATGAGCGTTGTACTTTGCCTTGATAGCTTCTTCATCATTGAAACGTTTGGGATCTACAGCAGCGCCATCTAACTGACAAGCGTGGGCCATTCGTACCCAACGCTGAGTGTGTTCGGGAAGGTCATCATACCGGTTCCCCAACTCGACAGATAGTTTGTGGACCGTGTTCTTGAAAGAGTTATACCAGCTGTCGACATCACGGGCGGTAAGGATCACTTTGGCATCGGGGTATGCATGGATCAAGCGCTCCACAAACGAAATTGTTGGCCTAGATACACGTAATATTAGCATTGTAATAATGCATGATGAAAAACTTTTACCAATCCACAGCAGCATCGAAACCATCATATAGATCATCCCAATCTACAGGCTTCTCAGGATGAAGGTAGGCATCAAGGAACTTCTCAGGATGGAGTTCGGCGGTTGCGAAATCGAGCAAGTGCAAACAATTATACCTAGACCCAAGTGTTACTATTTGCAGATCACTGAATGTAAAATTCTCGATGTAACATCTACCCAAGCATGCTAAGGGCGACTTTCATGCTGAGAGTGCCTGTTCGTCCATATCCGGCCCCAATAACTTTCAGGGGTGCCATAATGTGATGAGGAGTTGGACAAAATGAGGTTGATGATCAAGCTGAAAATCCATCCTACTTATACAGCAAAGTGGGTATGCATGCATAGTTCGGCTTGTTTGTAACAAAGGTCAATGATTGGATAAACCAAAGCATCATGTATCCTTAATCCCTATCACTTGATCAGTGTTGGGAAGCTGCAGGGGACTTCAAAATCAGCATCTTATTACGACGCACTGTGAGCATAATCGATTAGTAATCCTATCCCTTCCTCCCATCGATATACAGCGAAATTGAATACGTAACAATAATTACTATCCCAACCGAGAGCTATACAATGACTGCAGTATAATGATCAATGAGAAGTTTAATGATGAATACTTTCATTATGAGGTGACGTGCCATTATTAACCTAACAATACGTATATCCGCACTATTGGGTAGACAGGTTTAAGGAGACAATAAAAGACAACATGCCAAGGTTTTAGGTATCTTTAATGAAAGAGAGTGTACTTGGTTATGGTTGTTACATTGGAAAGCTAGATACACCATTATTTAGTTGTCGCCAACGGGTGCTGACGCTATCTTATGCAGCCTTATACAAGGGCGGATTATTCCATATGAACTTTCATAGGCGAATCTTATTGTGGGAAGGATCTTCATGCATTTCTCCACCAGTAGGATTGACCATTTGCAAACACGTCCCTTTGCATCTTTTGTTCTATCTAGGTTTGGTTACTTGACAAAGATCACCTTTCATATAGCATCATGCATACAGCATACATAAAACCCAAAGACGCCCTTAACTCAAAACTTTACAATCAACCACGGGGGTCTTTATGTTTTGACTATGCTGTAAGCGTGATGGAGTTGCTTTATCCTAATGGATGGTGTCGGCTGCATTAACGGAAGGATGGAGAGCTGAGTGAAATGGCACGTGGTAGTTACACAAACACGTCCTTGATAGGTTGCTGCACAAATGCATAATGATGATGATTGCCTTTTGTGAAGGCACGTAAGTAAACAGCATCCAATCATGAAGTTGTGTCAAGGTATGTATCACATTTGCATGTAGGAGAAGGTCGATCTGCATAAACCAATTTGTATATGTAAAAAGATACGTATACTTTTGAATGGGTCACTCATCCTGAAACTCAATGCAGGGATCACTTCACTTTTTCTCTTCTCAAGCTCATCCCACTCCTCCTTATTGTACCACAAAAGCCATATACTTCTTGCATGACCAATAACCGGACCACCTTTATTATTCCATCTTCGAAGCAATAGTATGTAATCCACAAGCTAGCAACCTCCAACACGCGTGTAATAAATAAACAATGCTTTATTTCATCTAGCTATCTTGCTACTGTACATTGCCACCACCATCGTCGTAGTCGTCCTCCGTCATCATCCGTACTCATACTCGTCACCAGTCCTCAATCTCATCCGTCACCAACATCCAAAAATACACAAGTTGAAAAGAATGGGATCTTGCAGGCTTCCTTTTGAATCTCGTTGTCGTCATCATTGTCATTGTTGTGAATGTGATAATCATCGTAATCGTCGTCTCTACAAATAAGAAAGCAGGCAAGTTAGATCACCTGGTACCGGAATGATGACAATTTGGTATAGCGTTAGGCGATCCTCTCCAAGGAAGAAAGCAAATCAGAAGGAATACACAAACCAAATCACCACCATACGAGCAACGTCGGGCGAGCCCTTGTTCTTGAGAAAGCACTGCACGAATCACGCAAGGTCAGTTCGATCCATGGCAAGGAAGGACATCACTTACGTAGAGTCCAGGCTCATAGTTGTCCTCATTCATCCTCTCCAAAGAAATAATGATCCCCAATCCTTCCCATCATTTCCCACCCCATGAAAAGAAATCCTCAAGGGAAAGAACGAGCCTATCACGAGAAGAGCGTGTTGGTTCAACACATTCACGGCCGAGCCATTGCAAAACCCCTTTTACCTCAACACGGTGACCATGCTCTTCCAAAAACCCATCGTCATCGACCCATCAACTCAACGCAAGCCTATAGAGCCCTGGACGCGTTCCAAGAAGCTTTTCCAGCACACTTGGCTAGTGCAGAGCGACGCAGCGACCACTTGATACAGGCTGGGACTTGAACCCAAAGAGATGATGAATGTCCCAAGTTGCATTGCCTGACCAAAGAAACCTATTCAATTCATTATTAGCACACACACAATAAACCCCCTTTTCATTGTTTGTTTCATTGTACTTGCCTTTTCCATATACACAAGGACCCGTTGTTGTTGGTTACTGGAAACCGAAAACCATGGTGTAGTATAGTTGAGCCGAAACAAAACGCCAAACCAGCCAACGTCTTGAAACCAAACTTGCCCTCTATACAAGCTGACGCGTCAATGGAACCAATTCGGCAGCAACATTGGACTCTGAATGTACCTGTTGACACCAAGCGTAGAGCGGGAATAGCAACAGAGAAGAGGAAGCAACGATATCGCCATGGCAACCACCAACCACCAACCACGCTCATTCCACAGCACTTGGACACACTCACTCCCTGACAATGCATGTGCAGAACTACATTAACACCTCACAGCCAACAAGAGCACTCTTTTATAGTACGTTACCTCGATCCAATGCCGTGAATGGAATAAGGAAAGGTGGGAGAAAAAGAAGAGAAGCGTTGTCTCAAGTCGTGGAGCTGCTGTCCCCCAAGTTTAAATCCCCTACTGCTATTACACTGAGGTCACTCATCAATTACCCTATACACTCCATCCACCCATCATCATCATCACCCTCACGATAGACAATAGGTACACGTAAATAAAAGAAATGATCCACACGTATAGCAAAAGGATGTGTGCCATTTTACACTTTACATGATAATGATGATCCAACAACAGCCATTGCCTTACTACCAGGTTAGCTTAAACCAAGAGAGTTAAATGATGGGCATGCTGGGCTGGACCACGACAATCGTTCACATGCATTGTTTTGGGTAAGAAAGATGAATGGGAGGAAAGGGTTATCAAGTGGCAGTTTACAAATAACTTACCAATTTGATTCTTCTGATATTGGAGATGACATTTTTCAGTCAAATCTCATCGGATCAAGAAAGTTGAGTGATGGGCATGCTGAGCTGGAGCAGGACAATCGTTCGTATGCATTGGATTGGGCAACAATGGAGAATGGGAGGACCAGGTTATTAGCTGGCATTTTGAACTATTCCTAAATAGTGTACAAGAATCATGCATCGCCTATGCTGAATGACTCAAGTTACACAAACACGTCTTCTACATCTTATGCTCTATTATAGTCATACTATTTTACATTAAACAAAGACCACTTCTCATATAGCATCACGCTTACAAATATAAAGGTGCCTGTATCTCCAAACTTTACAATCAAACGTGGGGTTTTTATTAGAGCAATGTGCTCGGCTTGGCCAACTGCACCTTGGGTACCAGTTGCATGATCAAGTTTGCCAATCCCAGATTTCGCAATGTCGCTACCAGCCAAACTGGATCTGGGGGTCAACCTCTTCGACGACGACGACCAAAAAATATTTTTTGGGCTGTTTGCGACATTGAACGCGAAACTTTCACACAAGGTGCAGTTGGCCAAGCCGA